CGGGTAGAGGTCTAGCGAACCGTGCGAGAGGAAGGATAGGCCCGTCATGAGCAGAACAGCGTATATGCCGACAACCCAGTGTAGCCTGAGCATAACGCGAGTCTCTTTGACGAAGATCCTTGACCTCTCTGCTGTCGAGGTTGGGGTGCCCGATGCGCGCTGTGCCGCCTTGGCGCGAAGGAAGATCACCGATTCGGGAAGAAGTGACCGGACGATCGCTGCGAAAAGTGACAATCCCGCCGACGTCCAGAAGAGAGCTCTCCATCCAACGGACACATTGGGCACCAAGAATAGATTGATGACGGCCGCGACGAGGTATCCCGAGCCGTATCCTTGTTGCAGTACCCCGGATGCGAGCCCCCGTACTTCCACTGGCAGATTTTCAAGCGCTGTGGATGATGCGAGCCCCCATACACCACCCATCCCAACACCAAAGAGGGAGCGTACGGTGAGGAATTGAGGGAATGATTGTACGAAACCGGTTCCGAGCTCGAAGGCGGCGATGAGGATCAGGTTGCAGACGAGCGGCCACTTGCGCCCAAAGCGGTCGGAGATGATGCCGAAGATGGCCTGTGGGAGAAGGATGGAGTTAGTAAAAGCTCGAATAGGCGCCACAGCGGGTAAGTGGTCAAAGCTTGAGGGACTATCCAGAGAAACCAGCAGCAAGCTGAGCTTGTTGTACAACCTGCTCGCACGCGGAGGTACTGATAGTTCGCGGTTGAGCGCCGATGCCTGTGGGAGTTGACTCCCCTGCCACTAATGATGTATGGCCACCTCCCGAAGCAGCTGCGAACTAACGAGGAACGTTCATACTCACAGCGCCAACGGGGCGGAATAGTAATGTCAATGTTATGGCTGTCGTCTTGAGCACATTCGTCAGCGTGAATGATGCACCGGACCTCAGGTGGCGTCACGCACAATATCCGATGCGCGAGTCTTGCCGAATTGCCTCTGTAAATTCGTGACGGACAATGATACAGAGAAGAAGTCGAGCGAGTCTGTGAACCAAGATAGCCACCTATGCTCGTTAGCTTCGCCCAGTGCTCATACATAGGCTGGGAACGTACCCTGACCAGAATAACGCCCATTGGAACCATGTTAGGCTCAAAAGAGCTCTCCAGAGTGTCCGTTCTCCACAACGCTGCTCGCGGCGGGGAGCAAGGTTGCGAACGATGGAAAGCGCCATGTGAGATACAGCTCACTTAGAGTACAGGGAGAGCAAGTATGGCCCTCAGTGATGCCCTGGGCATCTTTAAGACGTACGCGGTCATCCTACAAGAACCCGCGCGCTATGCCACGGGCGTTCAAGGCTAAGTGACCAGGAATTGAGAGTCATTGGACTACTCTCGATCTCGCGTGACGAGCTGTAAATAGTCCTCGCTGACCCTCGCTGACCGCGGGGAGTCTGTCCTGGGTCGTGTCATCTCGTACAAAACCAAAGGCGTTGACGCGCGGTGAGAGTTTGGAACAAAGCGCGACGTAGCGAGCCTCCACGCGTCTTCCTCCTCCGACTTCCATAGGTGTTGTTGGTGCTGCTTTATGACATGGCATTCTGGTATATATGGGCTGCTTGAGCGGTCCCCAGTATAAGGACACGTGTAACGAGTCATTCCATGCGTAATGCACAAGATCTGGACGTACGGGAAGAGTGGTACATGGTACTGGTGCGTGACTCAGTGTCCGTTATGCTACCGTGCGTCTGATACGCTTCCGCAGTGAGCTGCAGTGACGTGCTCTCTCACTGTATGCCCCGGCTTACGACAATACCATTGACGACGGGTCGACCTTCCTTCCTGCCTTAATCTATGCCAGCCGACACAATCATCTTTCTCTCCCTGCCATCCCTCAGTAGACGTTAGGAGGTTCATCATGCGCAGGGTGCTCAGACAGTCCAAACCACTCGACCAGAATACCACATACTCCGAATGCCACCGTTACCCTCGTCACCTTCACACACTCTTCTTTATCGTCACTACAATGCGAATATCTATCTCCGCCGGATGTACCAGTACTCTACGGTTCTGCGACGATCAGTCTCGACCCATCTGCATCCCATTTTCTTGACGTAGTTGAACTAATCTCAGTTACAAGTCTGGTAGCCATGCTTATGATGAGGATGTCAATTATATACTTGTGAATATACTCAAGTAAGACAGTAATCCCCGGCGTCAGCCGATAGGGACTGGGGAGTAAGTGCCCAACACGTGTCGCCACGGGCCAAGCAGCCGCGCCGCCGCGGAGAACTCGGCCCGGCCAACCAACAAGTGCCGCGCGGCGCGCCTTGTTCTTGAACCACCACAACGGCCAGGCATTTACCTTACCGTGTCATCATCATTGCGACTGAAATCAGGATGCTTATATCCTCACGAAACTGGTTTCGTTTTTGCCACGACGAAGCCTGGCTCGTGATGAATCCTCGCTCATCACTTCTTGAACGCGCCAAGTACTCGGCGCCGAAAGGGAAGGCGCTGCTAGTTGAGATGCATGTACGGATGGCAGATGCCAGTGTGGCCGGAGGTAGATTGGACTCTAATGCTCGAAAGAGCCTTGCAACCCGGGCATCTGATGACCGACACCCGCTCGCGAGGGGCCGTGCAAGGGTGGTAGTCGCCGCTTGGATGGAGTATGTGGCGACCCAATTCCGTATGCTTGCATGTATGAACATGTCACTCGCGGTGATTGTTGTTTATTCGGCCCGACTGATTGCCCGCGCGTCCTGGAGCGTTCTGGTGTTGGTATCCGCAGAGCTCCTGCTTTTGGCTTCAAGACTACCTTTGAAGTGCAGACGCCTCCTTTTTTGTAGCAGACATGCATGGGGACACTCCCGGCGACGTGCACTGCTCGTGTTTCCTCAGTACGTTTCGCGAGTCTGACTGTTTCGTCCTATATATACTGATGGCCCTCCAAGGTTCTCTTCTACTGCCATCATTTCTCGAGTGCGCACTGCATTACCGTGAGTCATCGCTCTCTTTCACAATGAGATCACGACCATCTTAAACATGACCAGGAATCATACGTTACCCAATGTCAGATATTCCTCGTGTACTTACAGCCGATTTTGTCAAGGTGCGCATATAGCCAGGAGTCCATATCGACTCTGAGTAACGGGTTACGCAGGGTTCGGAAAACGGGAATCCCTCTCCGTCCTCTCAAAGTCTCTCGTCGGACGAGCTCGAAGATGCTGCCGTCGAAGCGGACACTCTCTATGAAGGAACGAAAGATCCAGCCCACCTAAAGGACGCTCTCGACTTCATTCAACGTGCGATCGACGCGAACCCCATGCCGCACCCAATCGCGATAGGTTGGCTAGGAAATTGCTTGAGGAAGTGTTTCCAGGTGTGGGGCGAAGTGGATTTCCTTGACAGGGCTATTGAAGTGGAGCATTATGCGCTGAATCTCACCGACGACGGGCTTCCCGACAAACCTATTCGTCTCAATAACCTCGGATGTTCCTTGAAGCTTCGCTATCAGCGATCCGGAGCGCCCGACGACCTCGATTGGGCTCTCCAATTGCACAAGAAAGCGGTTGAGCTCATTCCAGGCGACGGCTCTGACATGCAAAAGTTGCTCGTTAACCTTGGGGGTGTGCAGCATCTTCAGTTTCAACACCAGGCTGACCTGGGTAGTCTTGAGCGTGCTATCGAGGGACTGCGTCGTGCTATCAAGTTGACTCCGATCGGCGATCCTGAAGAGCCGGACCGTCTGGATCTCCTTTTAACTTGCTTTCACAGTCGCTTTGAACATCTAGGAGATCTAGACGACCTCGAAAGTGCCATCGGGATGCAACGCCGCCTAATTGATCTGATCCCTGACGATCATCCCTCGATGCCGGTATGGCTCGGTAATCTCGCTCTCTTCATGTCCCTTCGCTACAAGTACAAGGGGAATATAGAGGATCTTGAGTACTCCGTCGTGCAACAAGAACGTGTGGTCGAACTCCTTTCCGATGAACACCCCGGCAAACTCACCAACCTGAACAATCTCGGGTCGATCTTGAGCCTTCGCTTTGAGCGTCTGCAGGAGGCCGCCGACATCGAGCGTTCAATCTCAATACACCGACGTACACTCGAGCTTGCCACAGAAGATCATCCGTCCCTACCACTGTGGTTGGGTAGCCTCGCTCTTGTGCTGTGTCTTCGTTGGAAGCGTTTCGGAGAGATAGAAGATCTCCAACAAGGCATCGCGATCCAAGAGCAGGCCATCAAGATGACTCCGGACGGCCATCCCCTTGAAGCCGCCCGGCTAGATAAACTCGCCGCATTCTTAGGAAGTCGGTTTGAACGTCTGGGAACGTTTGAAGATCTCGAGAAAGCCCTGCAGATTCAAGAGCGGGCAATAGAGCTTGGTGATGACAAACCTCTTCAGATGCCGGCCTGGCTGGGAAACTTTGCGAACTTGCTACGGCATCGTTACGAGCACCTGGCAGATGTCCGTGATCTTGAGCGCGCCATCCTATTGCAAGAAAAGGTGGTCACACTTACTTCACACGGTCACTCGGACGAATCCCTTCAATTGAACAATCTTAGTTTTCTGCTGCGTACTCGTTTCAGATGCCTCGGCAATGTTGAGGATCTGGAACGCGCTATCGACGCGCAATTCCGCTCGGTCGAATACTGTTCACATGATCATCCGAGCACACCGACACGGCTTGAGAATCTCGCCTCCTTGCGTCAACTTCGCTTCGAGCGTTTCGGTGCATCGGATGACCTTCAGTCTGCAATCCTGGAGCGGGGACGTGCACTAGAACTGACGCCTGACGGTCATCCTGACAAGCCTCTTCGACTGAGCAACCTTGGAGGCTCTCTCAGCAGCCGCTTCACGCTGCTGGGCGATCCCAATGACATCCATCGTGCCATTGCAGTTCGGCAGCAAGCTATCAACCTCACTCCAGATGGACATCCCCGCATGGCGGGACTGTTAGACGGTCTGGGATTCTCCCGGTTTCGCCGGTTTCAGCGCTTTGGAGACTGCGCCGACCTTGACAGCGCCGTAGGGAGCCAAAAACATGCGGTCCAAATCACATCGGATGGTCATTCGTCTCTCCCAACGAGATTGAACAACCTTGCTTCGTCCCTATGTGGCCGTTTTGATCGCTTGAAAGAGCCTGGAGATCTCAAGCTTGCTATTACACTACAGCGACGCGCAGTAGAGCTTGGACCTGACACTCACCCTGATATGAGAACAAGGCTGAGTACTCTCGGGTTCACACTTTCTCATCGCTATAAGCACTTTGGACAACTAGAAGATCTTGATGCCGCGATCACTGCCTTTCAACATGCAGCCGAACGCACACCGGAGGGCCATCCTGATAGGCCACTTCATCTACACAATCTCGGAACTCTTCTATGCACCCGTTTTGAACGCCTAGGGGAGAATGAGGACTTGGAACGCGCATCTGTGATCCAGCAGAGCGCAGTGCAACTCACCCCCGATGGACATCCTGACATGCCAGTGAGAGTCGATCAGCTCAGCGACGTATTGTTCATACATTCTCAATACTACGGAGGCCTCGATGATCTCGAGGGTGCCGTCATCACAGCGTGTCGTGCCCTGATTTTAACTCCATCCGGACATCCGAGTAAACTGATTATGATGAACAACCTTGCGTCGCGCCTACGCGCCCGTTTCGAACGTTCGGGCGATTTCGAAGACCTTGAGCGAGCTCTTGAACTGCAGCAGCGCGCGCTTGAGCTCGCCACGGGAGACAGCGATGATCCATACCTTCTCATAGGGCTGTCAAACCTTGCCTCCACACAATGCCTTCTGTATGGCCACTTCAAACGTCGCACCGATCTTGCGGACGCGATAAACACTTTCCGCCACGCAATTGATCTCATTCCTCCTGGTTATTCCGGCACTTCGGCAATTCAACGCACTCTCGGCCATACACTCTCGCTTGATCTGCAATTTGCGAGGGTCAGGGAGACATTCGACGAATCTCTCTCCTGGTTAATGAGCGCTGCGACGCAGTCTCTAGGCTCACCGTATACGCATATTGATGCAGTCATATATGCTCTGACATTGCACTCCGAGTACTCCGAGTTGAGCACTAGGGGTGGTCTCTTAGAAGCTCAACTCTGTCTGTTCGACCTCATTCCTGAGATTGTCTGGCTTGGGTACGGCGTAACGCGTCGTTTCAATGAAGCACAGCGCGTGAAGGGTCTTATAAGTTCCACTGTTAGTACTGTCATAGGCACTGGTGATCTAGTGCAAGCTATGGAGTGGTTGGAAGCTGGAAGATCTTTCGTATGGGCACAGGTCTTGTCTTTGCGCAGCCCCATAGACGAGGTCGCGGGAATCTCTCCCGACATTGCAGGCTCCCTTATGCAGCTGCACGGTCAGCTCCAAGGCAGCATACATGCTTCCTTGCATCGTGTCCCGGGCACCATTCGTGTTATGGAACATGCCCTCCCCATCAAGAGTCTGACTCTAGAAGTAGATCGTCATCGAGCGCTGGCGATTGAGTATGATAGACTGCTGAAAGACATCCGTACGCGGCCCGGTTTGGAAAACTTCATGCGTCCTAAGAAGCTCGCTGCTCTTATTCCGCCCCTATCGCACTCAGGCGGATATACTGTCTTCATCCACATCGACGTAGCGCGATGTGACGCTCTAGTTCTTCACCAGGATGGATCTATCGTTGCGGTGCCTTTACGAAAGCTATCTCTGGGCATGGCAGAGAAATTACGCGCGAACTGGAAGAGGTATCTTCAACAGCAAGGCGTACGCGCCGCCCGAATGGCTGCTGTACCTATAGACAGGCTACCCAAGGGTTGCAAGCCAAGTACGATTCTGGGTCATCTTTGGAGATGGATTGTGCATCCAGTATTGCAAGCATTGGGTATAGATTCCGTGAGTAGCGTCGTCTTTACATCATACTCATTGAGCATTTGTAACAGTCAGCGGCTGACTTGTCTTGGTACAGAAGGTCCTAAACGGAGTTCTTCCTCATATTACTTGGTGCCCTACTGGGCCGCTCACCCAGTTACCGCTGCATGCGGCAGGCATCTACCAAAAAGGGCCCGGCGAGCGCGTTTACGACTACGTCGTATCTTCCTTCTCTCCATCCCTCACCGCGCTATACAGATGCGCAGACGGGCTCGCGAAGCCACGGGACAGTACTAGTGTTCTTGTTGTCACACAGGCGAACGCGCCCGGACTGCCATCGATACCCGGGACTATAATCGAAGGAAAACACCTGCGCAAGGTCTTCCGCGACTCAGGTGTTGATTTCACTCTTCTTCAGGATGAGGAAGCGACGATACAAGCCGTGAAGGTGGCTGTGCCTCAGAATACGTGGTTGCATTTCGCCTGCCACGGCTTCCAGGACCCAATGGACCCAGTCAAGAGCGCGTTCGCTCTGTCCGATGGTGGACTATCACTGACTGACCTCATGGGCACGACGGCAGAGCATGCGGAGCTCGCATTCCTTTCTGCGTGTCAGACAGCTGTCGGCGATGAAAAGATCCCCGAGGAGTCGATGCACCTCGCGGCGGGGATGTTGGCCGTGGGGTTCAAGGGTGTTGTCGCCACGATGTGGTCGATAGGTGACCAGGACGCACCACTCATAGCTGAGGCATATTACAAGGAGCTGCTCGAGCTTCGGGGGTCAGATAAGCTGAGGAAGGGTGAGACGGGTGCGGCGTACGCGTTACACGAAGCGACGAAGCGATTGAGGGAGAAGGTTGGCGAGCAGGCGTTCGCGCGATGGGCACCATTCGTGCATTTCGGTGTATGAGGAGTTAAGGTTCGGTTCACCCGTGGTTATATATCTTTAGTACCTGTGATACCTAAAGTTGGACGCATATATGCTGTCTGTGCGGCTGTCGTCGTCGTCTGAAACGAAGGACGCGTTGGCGCCTGTCACCGGCTATTGTGCCTGTGTGGGAACTCGGGCCGGTTAACCGGCGACCAACGGGGAAAGCGCGCTCCCGCATCAAAGCCCAGCTCGACTCAAGTTGTATGGGCTTATTCCATTTCTATGTGCACAACATCGCAACCATGAATTAGGGTACATGCGGGGTCAAGCCATCTCTCTCTGAACAATGCTACCCTTCTCCTTCTCATCGAACGACTCTTCCCTCTGGGAAGACCCCATCTTGGCCCGCCCGACCTGCGATTCCTCGCCGTCTTCAATCAACGCATCATCCCGCCCGCCACCTTCCTCGAATGCTGTCTTGTGCTTCTCAAACTGCGCGCTATGCGCCTCGGGCCCGAGTATGGTGACAGCGAGGATGAACGCCGCGACGACGCCGATAAGGATCCCTTGGACTGTGGCGTAGTCCGGCACTTCCTTCGTTATGCCGTCGATGGTGACCGTCGTACGCAGATTCTCGCCACCTTTCGCTTCGATCTGCGATGCAGCAGAGGAGATCATCTTCATGTTGACCATCAGTCAAAGCGCGAACTCTGAGTGGATATGGAAACACGTACATTACCGAGCTGATACGCCACGCCCGGGAATGTCGCGCGGAACGCGGGCGGCGAGACTTCAGCAAGCTGAATGGGAATGACGCCCCATGCACCCTGTGCGCCGAATTGGATGAGGAAGGCGCCCGCCGCCAGAGTAGAGAATGAGCTCGGGAGGATCCAGAGTGGGATGAAAGCACCGGTCCAGAGGACGAGTAGGATTATGGTGAGACGGCGACCGATGTACTGGGAGATGTAGCCGGCGAACGTGCTCCCTGCGTCGAGGACGTTCATTAGCAATATACCGAAAGGACAGTAGATATACAACGGACCTGAAACGGCACCACAGTTGGCGATGATAGTCGCGATGTTGGCGTTCCGCGGACTGAACCCCTTGCTCTGCTGTAAGAAGGTCGGGTAGAGATCCAAAGAACCGTGTGAAAAGAACGTGAACCCCGTCATGAGCAGAACAGCATATATGCTGACTGCCCAATGTGACTTGAGCATCACCCAGGTCTCATGTATGAATATCTTCGTCTTCTGCGCCGTCGTGGTACCGGACGCGCGCTGGACGGCTTTGGCACGTATAAAGATGTCTGATTCGGGGAGAAGCGCCCTGACGCCTGCGGCAAAGACCGATAGTCCGGCAGACGTCCAAAAGAGTGCTCTCCACCCAACACTGACATTCGGGACGAGGAATAGGTTGATGACGGCCGCAACCAAATAACCGGTCCCGTATCCCTGCTGCAGAACGCCGGATGCGATACCGCGGACTTCAACGGGTAAGCTCTCGAGCGCAGTAGACGCCGCCAAGCCCCATACGCCGCCCATACCAATTCCGAAGAGCGAGCGCACAGCGAGGAACTGCGAGAAAGTTTGGACGAAGCCGGTTCCGAGCTCGAAGATGGCGACGAGGATGAGGTTGAAGACGAGCGGCCATTTGCGGCCGAAGCGGTCGGAGATGATGCCGAAGATGGCCTGTGAGAGGAAGGAGCGTCAGATATCGGCCACGATTATAGGCGCCACAGCCCGTGGCCTGAAAAGAAGCCTGCAAAGCATCGCACGGGGTGCATGTTGGCGGGAGCTACAAGCCCTATGCGTGTAAGGGCGCCATTGCATCTGACATGGGCGTGCCGCAGATTCTCTAGAAGACAGATATAGACACGTTGGACTCACAGCACCAGCGGGGCGGAATAGCAAGGTCAAGGTGATAGCAGTGGTCTGCACAAAGCTTCAGTAACGAGTCTAATGATATGTTCAAGGTACACACAATGTCTGAAGCGTTGGCCTTGTCGAATTGCTTTTGGAGGTTTGTCACAGATAATGATACGGAGAAGAAGTCGAGAGAATCGGTGAACCACGCTAGCCATCTGCAATTGGAGAGCGATTAGTTGAGTAACCATGAGTAGATGAGGGTTGGTAGTTACACACCCCGACCAGAACAATGCCCATTGAATCCAGGTCAGTCTCGAGAGGGCTTTCATGAGCGACTGCTCTCCTTGCCGCTCACGGCGAGGAATCAAGTTGCGGATAAAGTACGGCGCCATCGCAATCACCAGCAAGGAGAAGGGCTATCTGGCACAGAACGCGGGGTCTGAGGACCAGTCGAACCTTATAGTACGTGCCAACGCCGGCCCTCTATATCATGAGTCCGCACACGAGGACGGCCCTGCTTGCGCTTGAGAACATTCAGGCTCGCATCCTCGCATCCTGAAGCTCAACTAGACCTCTATCTTCTCACCACAAGGGGACGAAGCAATCCATCGTCGTGTGGTGCAACTCATTGTAATCGCGATACGAGGTGCGGCGAGACGCGTATTGCAGGAGAGAGAAACAGGTTCTTCAGACTTGGCGACTAGGACGCAACATGGTGATAGGGTGTAGCATCTTTGCATACGTAGTGGTACACGCTCCAGCGCGCAGTGGGAGTTTGGGACAAGTAGAAGACGCGCCGCGGGCATCCGCGTAGGCGCGCATTCTCGCCTTGACTCCCATCTGCGGCTACCCGCCACCGTCGACGGGTTTATGCTTGACTCAGTTTAGCTTGACTTCTGGTTTGGTGAGGAGGAGAAGGCCGAGGTGCTGTGGCTGGTGCTCTAGGGGCAAGGGTGCGTTGACTGTCATATGCTGGTCAGTGTAGTAGGGCTGATACTCTCCTTGCAGCAGTCATACCCTCTTTGATAATACGTACGCGTTGCATACAGTCTACGTTTACGCCGTCACTACCCCCATTCGCTCTCACTTCGATTGACTCCTAGAGACCCTCGCATCTTGTTTTCGTACATACCTTTCTCACCCGCATCCACCCCCAACTCGTCCCGTACACCAGATTGATTTCAATTCCTTCGTCGATACTTCAACCTCATCCCATGTCGAACGAAATACTCCTTTTTGTCATTATGAATGCTTTTGCAAACGTGGATAACTTGCGGGCCAGTCGTCGAGCACTCAGCAGCACTCAGCGCCGGATGTTCGCCTTAGACGCCGCCATTGGCTCTACCCAGGCGCATACTTGCCTCGCGCGATCCGTGTCCGTCTACATATACGATCATGCCAAAGAACCGAGGACGAGCGTCCGTTGCATTGCATCCAGGGAAGGCACGTATGAGTCTAAAGAGCGTAGTCGTGAATCTAAATGCCGAGTGAAGGACAGACTGAAGTGGGACGTTTATCATTGATAGAGATCACAGTGCAGTGTAAGAGAAAGATTAGATGTGATAGCGTATGTAAGATGTACGAAGAGCGTCATAACTTGAGTACGGAATCTGATCAGGAACGGTGCATCTATGCCTTCTTCGCCGCCCTCGACCCCTTCGGCACCCGCGCAAGCCAGTAGAAGAACAGCGCGCCTGCAGCGTTGAAGATGATATAGACCCAGAGCAGGCCAAAGTTGCGGTAGCGGTGGTCGTAGGAAGAGGAGACGCTGGCCAGGAATGTGTTCGTCTCGGTCACCTGGCAGAACTGGCAATCGCTCGTCGCGTTTGGGTTCTGGAGAACGCCGCCGGCAAGACCAATGTAGTCCTGGAAGTACTGTGCGCAAGTTTGGCCGCTTGGAGGGTCCACGACGGAGTACTCGATCGCGGAACATTCAGCCGGCGCATTCGCTACAGCGGTGGAGAGAAGACCGTCGACTATAAGGAAAGGTTCAGCGTTGCGAGCGATGAAGGAACCGGAAGAAACGCACCTAAGTACGTGAAGGGCGAGACCCGATACATGAAGATCCAGAAATGCGGGAACGCGTTGGCGCCGGTGGGCGGGGCGAGTACACCGTTGAAGACCAAGCATAGCGAAAAACAGAAGTTCGCTGAAGGATTCTGTCAGCGCCTAGATAAACGCTACAGAGCGAGGTATAGCGTACCAATGTTACCACCCGTGATGGCGTCAGGAATACCGGCGATGACCATATGCGTGAACGTCGACGTGAATAACAGGAACTGCCAGATCTACGACAAAGCGTAAGCGAGCAGATAAAGCAGGAGGAGGATGATGAACGCACGAAGAGGAAGAAGAGCCCTCCGCGCTCGGTAACAGCGTCCGTGTACTCCGCGTTGCGGTACAGTCCAATGGGGTAGTAGAAGCAGAAGAAAAGGCCGACGGCGGCCAGCGTGTTCCAGGGAAGTTCGACGACGATGTTGGCCAGCATGAAGGCCTTCCACGAGTACGTCTTCGACGGGCGTTCGCGGACCTCGTACAGGTCGCGCTGAGTGCAGAAGTGAGGCTGTCGTGCACTGTGAGCACGCGATCTCGATCCCAGTGAAATCGGATACGTACCATAGCCTGGTTGACCAACGATCCGAACACGACAAGAACCATGAAGCATGCGAACTAGAAGATATGATGAGCAAGAGTCCGAACTCAAGCAGGCGCGAAGCGTACCATCTGGTCCTGCAAGTCTTGAATAGTGCGCCCAGCCTTGAAGAACGAGAATCCGATGAACAAGCCCGTCAAAGTGCACAACAGCAGTTTCGCCCACTAACACGCGCTTCATTTAAACGGATCGACTTGAAAAGTGACAGGGCAGACGTACGATGTAGCTCGGCGTACGCCACAGCTGCTGGAAGACACGGTGCGTGACGTGCAGAGTTTGCTTCCAGAACGGTGCGGCGAACGCGCGGTGCGCCTCGACGTTGCCCGCGTTGTCAACCGCCTTCGCGTTTGCCCGGAGGTCGGCGAGATGAGACTTGACGGCGGCAAGCTCGGCGCTCTCACGCCACGCCTCGGCAAAGTCGCGGACAGCGCTCGAGCCAGGCGCAGCGCCGATGACATGCAACATCCCTGCGAGGGTTGAGATCCAGCAACGATGACTTATGAAAGAGGGAAACATACATTCAGCCGGGTTAGCGTCTGCGGGACAGGTCGGCGCGCCTTGACGCTCGAAGTATTGAATGAGCGTGGCGCTGTTCTCACCGATGTCGCCGAAGTAGACCGTGCGGCCGCCCTTCTGCAAGAACAGAAGTCGGTCGAAGCTCTGGAACAAGAGTGCGCTCGGTTGATGAATGGTGCACCTATATGGCGCGTGAGAAAGGTCGTTCGGGGGCTTTATAGGTGAGTAAAAACGTACAAGATGGCCTGACCGTGGTTCGCGAGCTTGCGGAGGAGCGTACAGATACTCCATGCCGTCTGTGAGTCGAGACCGGAGGTAGGTTCGTCGAGGAAGAGGAGTAGCTCGGGCTTGGCGACGAGTTCAACACCGATCGTGAGGCGCTTGCGCTGCTCGACGTTCAGGCCCTCGCCTGGTACACCGACGACGGCATCTGCGTATTTCTATGTTCATGATTAGCAACCGACGTACAGATATAGATCGGATCGTTACTGACCTGCATCTCAAGCAAGTTGATGATTTCCTGAACATATGCTTTCTTCTCCTCATCAGGAACGGACGCCGGCTGACGGAGACGAGCGCTAAAGACGAGCGCCTCGCGCACGGTCGAGGTCTCAAGATGCAGATCTTGCTGCTGAACGTAACCCGTCTTGCGTTGGAACGACTCGTCGCGCTGGCGCCCATCCACGAGCATCTGACCGCCGACGACACCCATAGTGACACGACTGGCGAGAACATCAAGAAGCGTCGTCTTGCCGGCGCCTGACGCGCCCATAAGCGCCGTGAGCTTGCCCGGTTCGACCCAACCGTCAACGTGATCGAGTAGCCGACGCTCGCCACCCTTGACCTTGATGTCGTAGATCACATCTAGGACAGGTATGTCAGAGGCAGACCTCAATAGCATACAACAAGAACTTACCCTCCCAGTGGAAGATGGCCGTTTGGCGCTGGATGACGCCCACGGCCTCGTCCGCCTTCTCCTGCACAGCCTGATCAAACTCGGCCTTCCCAATCGGTGTGCCCGCCTCCTCATCAGACTTGCGCGGCGCCACGATCTCCTTCGGCGCATGTCCACTCCGGAAAACGAGAATCTCGCCCTTCGACTTGGCCGCGGGGATGTACTCGGTGGCGAAGAGATAGGTCGTGCAGAAGAAGCAGAAGAAACCGACGAGGATGCCCCAGTTACGCCAGAGGTGACTGCGGAAGTACTGGAAGGACTGGTTGATGTAGACGCGGCCGGAGACGGAGGTTTGACCAGGTTCGCCGCCGACGACGGAGCAGATCTGGGAGGCGATGTCGGTGTAGGTCGGGCCGGAGGGGACGAATGTTGCGCAAGGGAACTCGCGGCCGTCGAACTCGTTCACGACGAATGCTTCGAAGGCGTCTGCAAGCGTTGTTAGCGCAAGAGGATACTATGAGATGAAACCAAGCACTCACATGCGATAGGATCGATGTAGTTGATCCAGCGCGCCCAGCCGTGCATCAAAGGCGTGGGGATAACGAAGCCCGTGCTGTGTATTGCCGTCAGTACCAAGCGCGAAAAGTGAAGAGATTGAGCGTACTAGATGACCAGCGCAAGGAGCATGAGAGAGGTGGGCGTCATGGCCTGCGCAATCGTCCGACTAGATGTTGGTCAGCTTCGATGAACACGAGAAGGAAGCGGAGAGCGCACCTGCTGGCGCCGATGGTCCTGAAGATAACGCTCATGACCATTGTGATGGTGAGCGAGAACAGGAAGAAGATGCTATCCAGATTGTCAGAGTCATCCTCAGAATGCAAGCGAGACGTGGCGCACAAGAAAGGCCCGACTTCACGGCGTAGGTTCGTCATGAAGTACAGCACCAAGTTGAAGCCGATACTCGTCAAGATCTTCGCCGGCAAGTCGCATATCATCGAAGCTATAGCTTCGGCGAAAGGGTGATACAGAGCCATACGCGTATGCTTCTCGACTATAACAAGATATCAGTGCCAGTATACTTTCGAGAATTGATTGAAACGAACCAATGGGCCGCTGCTCGTACAAAGCCAGAATCTCGAGAGCACTCTGGAAAGCATTGGTGAGGATGGCGAAGAAGAGGCAGGCAGTGCGATTGTAGAACGAGCTGGTGTCCGAGGGCCTAGACGACATTAGAACGTCGAAATGCCGAGATAAGTGGGTAGGCACGTACAAGTTGTAGAAGATAGACGAGATAATCAGACCCATGATGACGTTGAAGAAGACCTGAGTGAAGAAGATCGACATATCGCCTGCGTAGGAATTGAGTGAACCAATAGATATTGCAACTTCTGAGAGCATGACATACCACGCAGACGAGAAAACGCGCGGGTCAAGCAAAGCTTGATCTGCATCGGTACCGAGATCGTGTACGGGGACTGGGGCCGAAGGCTCTTGGACTGCGCGAGACGACGGTTCGCGAGCATAGCGTCGTACGCCTGTCCATCACCGGTAGCATAGTCGTTGTTGAACGTCTCAATGTCGCGCAGGAGTGCTTGACGCTCTTCACTGTGCTGCCAGCGAGCAGCGAACTCGTCGGGCGTGCGCGGGACCTTGTGCTCAAAGCCAGGACGGACAATACGCTCGGCGGGACTGGTGAGGGACGTGAGGAAGTCGGCGGCGGTCTGGCGCGGGGGACAGTCGAAGCCCATCTTGACGAAGAAGTTTTTCGCGGAGGCGCATGGACCGAAGTAGATCTGGCGACCCTCGTACAAGACGACAACCTTGTCGAAGACCTGTGGATGTAATGAGCGCGTGTCAAGGCAATGCTATAGAACACTGCGTACATCGTAGATGTCCTGAGACGCCTGGTAGATCGCGACCGCTGCTGCGGAGCCCATGTACCTCGTCTGCAAGCGCAGAGTGCGGACGAACTCAAGCGCGCTGGCCGAATCGAGACCACGCGTGCTGTTATCCCAGCACTGCAGCGGGCTTCCCGCGAGCGCGACCTCGGCGAGGGAGACACGCTTACGCTCGCTATATGCGCGTCAGAATATTTCGAACTCGTAAGACGAATGACGCTGCTCACCCTCCAGATACCCCACGGATGAAGTCGTTGCCGACCTTGGTGTTAAAGGTGTGAGAAATACCGAAGACGGCCATGATGACATCGCGCATATGGGCTGCCCACTGCTCGCGTGAGATACCGGGGATACGCGTATGCGGCGTGCGAGCGAGAGCAGCGAAGGTGAGCGTCTCGCCGACCGAGAGGTTGGGGAAGTGAACATCGACTGGAAGGTGTATTCAGTAGCTGCCGAGGAGCTACAAGCGGGAGGACGTACCTTCGGCGTTGTAGATGCACTCGCCGCGGAACTCCTTATGCATGCGCTTGAACGTTATGCCCTGGTAGTTAATGGAGTTTTCATCCTGGATATGGTAGCCGTGCGTCTCGCCCGAGATCGTCTTGAGCAGCGTAGAGCAACCCGCGCCGGGACGACCGAGTACGATGAGCATCTCGCTCTCGCGAAGAACACTAAATACGGATCGTCAATGTCATGACGGTATGAAGGAGTTTAAAGCGGCTACGAACCCTTCGAAATTGCGCAAGATGTCGATCCGTTGGCCTGAGCGACCGAATACGTTGCGTATGTAGCCAGGCAAATTGGTGATCACGTTGAGAACGCTCTTCTGAAAGTCCGTCGAGTTGCCATAGCCGTACGCGTTGAGGTTGCTCCAGCTGACGCCGGCCGTTCTCTTCGGGAACCGCTCCGGGTTGCGCGACGCAATATGTAGAACCTGGATGCGCAAGGGATGTTGGTGCACTATCCATTCTAATATTCCTGTGAAGAACTACGTACCTGCTTGAGCCACACCTCGAGGCTGAACTTGCCCGAGGACGGGTCAAGTTGCGGGTTTGTGGAGCCTTCGAACGGGTTATCGACGACCTCGCCGTCCGCCGCTGCCTTCGACGCCTGTGTCATAGTCCGCGCCAGAGCGATAATGTCGTGCTCGGCGTTGGGCGGGAGATGAGGCTCGCCATCGTCGACGACGGTGTGCGTAGGCGAGCCGCCTGAGTCTTCGGAGTACTTCTCCTTGTCGGCCATGGTAGACAGGAGAAGGGTGAAGTTAGCGTAAGGTCGAGAAAAAGAGCGGGGAGGGTTCTAAAAGACAGATCCGATTGGTGAAGCGTACATATATTGTATGTGGCCCGGAGGCCGAATTGGCTAACCTGAGCTCACGTATCGGGCGGGCAGTCGGATGCTGCCACGTGAAGATTAGTCTTCGCGTCTGAAGTTCTGCAGAGGTTGATGCTTACCGGTCTACCCAATAACTCCAACGCCGCTGAAGAATACGACATAGAGCCGTATGTAAGTTTGCTACAGCCGAGAAGGCCACTTGCTAGTACTCAGTATAGTGTGCGAGCCATCAGTAAGTTTCAGAGCACGGTCTACCGCACAAAGGTAACAACGAGTTGGCCAACGCAGGCAAGCGGAAGTAATATCGGCCCGTGACGCGGGCCGACATGTCAGACTTGAGCGCGTTTGTCTCGACGGGGGTTGTCGGCCAGCTTGTCGACGAAGATGACGAGATGTTGACCGCGCAGTTCTTATGATGGTACGTTCCCGCTGATTATCAGCTCGAGCAGCTATCAGTCGGCGTCTACACCGAGCGATGACGGTATGTGGCGAGGTCGGAGGGCATGTCGTGTCCACTGTGAGGTCAGGTCTGGCCGGTCGTATGCGACCAGGTGTACTGCTTCGCCCGTATTTGCAATGACTGATTGGCAGGATACCCTTCCAACTGAGGTCGGACGGCACCGACACAACGAGATGCCTACGAAGACGTTGTGCGTCGTCTGGATATTTTCATCTTGATTATGGTTCAATAAGCGCGCCGCCCCTACGACAGCTGTCTTGTACGACGAGGATTTCACGCATGGAGTGTACTGGAGTTCGGGTACAAGGGAGCGTGGTGATGGTCAAGGGTAGACTCGGCGCATCTCCTCCATCAGTCGGCGGGCAAACGTCAGACGCGGCGCGGATGCTCTGCATTGTCCACGACCACCACGACCAACGATATGCCGACCGACCTATGCTCTTGAATCGGTCTGAAATTCATCAATTCTCTCACAATGAAACTTAACTGGTCAAGGCTACTGGGTTCTGGACGCGTACTGCTGAGCTCATACTGAGGGCTTGAGGGATGTATAGAAGGGACATGACGGGGCTCTCTGGTGCGCGATCAGTTCTTCTGTCGATGTACGACGCCGACAGTCGATTGTAGTGCGACGTGACGCGTGACGAGCAGGGGGAGCGATGGGCAACAAATACGTGCATGGTGCTCTGAACCACATATCTGCTACAACGCACGCGCTCTCATCGGGACGGTCGATTTTTCTTGGTGTGTTCATAGCCCTATGTGCACTCAAACGAAGAAGAATATGCCCGCCCAGCGCGCCTACAGTACTTTGGGTTATACGCATTGTGCTAGCAATAGCCATCATTCCTACTTCCCTGGCGCGCGCGTCTCGTTTATTTACTACCTTCCACTGTGAAGCCTCGGAAAGCGAGATGTTTGCCTTTCTTTATATACTGCACCACGGCACTTTACATGAATGATGAAATGAATAGCATATCTCATAGCGCGACAGCATAAAGTTTACAAGATCGGCATACTAAGGCATACTATACAGAGTCTTTTTGTGAGTTCACGGCACCAAGCCGTTGGAAGCCCTCATCTCGTTCTGTGGCAAGTTGGTTGCCACCTACTCATTTCCCATGTCCCAACCGAGACTTTGCGAGCGTATGAGCAGGAGGTGCAGGACGGCTATCCGAGCGAGACCGCTTGAGGCTGACGCCCGAGACTATCCTTCGCAGCGCGCTCGTGCTGCCACTGCGGCCAGGCGTCGCGGACCCGTCTTCAAAATGGACTTGGGGCCCTTTGTCCGCGCGACGGTCTGTTGCGTTGAACATCAACCGTATGAGACGGGTGTCGCGGACCCGCTCTTGTTGGTTGGTCGAGTCCGGTGTAGGTGTGGATGGGCGACTGGGTACAGGTGTAGGTGTGAGACGTTCGTCCCAAGGGTAGTCCTCGATGTACACAGGATCAACCGCGGACGGGTGTACAACAGTCGAGATGTTGCTGTCGCGACCTATGGCACTGCTTGCGAGTGAGACGTGTGCGGACTCTGGGAACACCTCTGGTAACTCGGGGAGTTCCTCGTCCGACCAGTCTGGCGAGAACGATGACGGTGGTGACTTTGGCGACGGGGAGCGCTCAGCCCTGTCAATCTTGCCCTCAAGCGCGAGCAGAGCGTATTGGTATGCGCATGTGCGAGAGCATGCGTCCGTGTAGTCGTCGTTGGGATCGACAGCGAGTGGTTCAGCGCAGAAGCAGCACTCGAGGGAGCGAGGGGTCGAGTCGAAGAGAGACATGGTGAGGAGCGTCGAGGATATGCGAGATGTGAGATGCGACTCGATGAATCGAATGGGTAGGGCTATGCAGCTGTTGGTACTCTTTATATCAATGAGAGTCGCTCTGTGGTTCGGACCACAGAACAGCGCGTCCAGCTCCTCCAAATTCAGAGGCCACAGGGAGGGCGCATGACGGCGTGGTTGCTGAGAGACAAATGCATTGTTCCATAAAGTGCGCTTAGGTAGGTAGAAACTTAGTTTGAAGGAAAGCGCTGCAAGGTCCAGGTTTCGAGGCGCATGCCAGCGTGCGTTGCGAATGAGATTGGGAGTAATGTGCAAGCTCAGCGACGCTGGAAACGCCAGCCGTACGCCTCCTAGCTTCCAGCTCCGCAAAAGACACATCAGTGAGCTCGAACTACATGAGCCCCTCCAGTACACCACTTGCACACTACGCCATTGGTCTGAGCGCCCACCGCGAACGAATTGTAGTCCCATGATCCGTGGTTACAACCGTCAGGGACTTCCCATTGTCCACAGACCGTGCGTATATCTCGTGGTTCGGGGCGGTCGAAGGATGGTTGCCTGCATGAAGTCATGACGATTATATGAACGTATCGGTGAGATGATTTCACAGATCATACTGTTCGTCAACGCACAGTTGAATAAATCGAGCGTATTTGAGCGCTCACCAAAGGGATTTGCGAGCTCGAGACGGAGAAACACGGCAACGCAACAAGAACCTCATGCCGAATCCGGCTGCTTGAATAGTCGTGATGGGTGAAGAGGTGGCAGATGCATGAAGACACCGAACCGACATAGTTGATTGCAGTTACAGTATGATAGATGGTCATTATACGGATGCGTTCGTGAACCGATAGATGATGATGAATGCGAATGCGAAAGTAGAGTAAGTACACTAGTCAATGTCCAAGCGGTGGTGGAATGAGAAGATGGTTGGGAGTGTCCGATGCACAGAGTCCTAGAGATGCCGAGAGACGTCGATCAAGTCATACGGATGTACACCGCGAACGTGCCTACTGCACATTCAGCGTCACGTTATGCGTTTCCATGAATGGCAGCGGGCCCGCCTGCAGAGATAATCGTTAGTTAGATACGAAGGGCAAAGGTGCCAGGACGTACCCCGACGAGGGAAAGGTGAACAAGTGTCAGAGCCGCTGGACCGGTGGCCATCCCAGGTGGGATCTGCACGGTGAAGTTCTGCTGCGGCGTATCCTGCGGCGTATGGTTCGTGGGATACTGAGGGTTGAATGGTCCGTTGTACAAGATGGCCCCCAAGCGCTCGGTGTTATCGCATGGGGTAGCGAAGCAGTGACCAACCGCGATAACTACGGCAACTTCCTGGGAGCCGGTAAGAGAGTTCTGGTATAACGTGGTGAGTATATCATCAGCGTTGAGGGCGCGAGCTGACGCACCGGGCGATTGATCTGGACGGTCATATTTTGCCCCGGGCTGACTGTGGTCTGGTCAGGCGGGTAGCCAATGGCGGTATTCTGCGCGGCGACAGCAGCGATCAGGGAGATGAGAGTGGCGATGACCTTCATGGTTGTCAAAAGTGGGGTGACGGGCGTGCTGTGGCTGCACAACAAGGCCTCCGTGCTTTATATACCCGGGCGGCAAGCATGCCCGCTTACGTTCCCGGAAGCAACATACAAGCTCGGGCGCTCGCGACCAAGGCGCGGTCGCTGGAACGATCCGCCAAAATTGAAGTGGAGCAGCTAGTTCATGAATAGATCATATTGCGCGGCCGGTCACCCGACGTCAATGCTCTCAGCTTGCAGTGCGAACGGTAAAGGCTATAGCCCTCTAGAGCACCAGAAAAAAGCCTAGATGACACGCCGCATGTTCGATGAGTGGTGGCTGGAAAGCATGACGCAGTGGCAGCGGCGAAGACGGCAGGAGACAAGCAGCCATTTCGGCGACGAACTCCGTCGAAGGCTGTGCGGCGGTCACACAAACACAAATACGAACACGCCGCGGTCGAAAGCAGCCGAAGGCGCTCTTCTCCGCAAACCTTGTCTCCAACCTCCATGTAGACTCTGAACGCATTGCCAGCCGTGCTGTCCTACCTGCAACCGAGTGATACATGAAGTACCGGCAACATATTACCTCCAGCAGAGCAAGTTGGGTATTCTCCAAGCGCTCTGGCTTGCACCACTGCAAAAAGCTTGAATAGACTCACACCGACTTAAGCCACACGTGTGTGCCCGCAGATCCCTGCTGACAGCGCTCGTTCTCATCCATACATACTTAGCTCCGGGACTCGTAGCCGCTCTAACACAGGCGAACCGCGCTGTGTTACTTCTCCGACTGCTCAATCACCGACGGAAAACCCGTAACGATTCTCTCAGTCCAGTCTCGATTTTATGAAATCGCTTTGCGGCCGCCATCTAGACGTACACCCAAACCTGGGCGCTCGCGAATTGCCCGGCTCGTTGTACAGCTTACCCACGGGCGCTTCTCGTCTAGAAGCCACGCCGCAATCGGCACCTCTCACAGTTGTCAAATCGAGGCGCGCTCTGTTTACCGAACTTGATTCGACGCGCCGCCTTTCATGCTGTATATCGGCATGCACGGTCTCATTCTTGGAGCTTTATATGCTGGGTCATTGGCGCCGATGTTACCAGGCCTCCTTGCACAAGATATGTCCCTCTGACTCGCATGGTGGAGATGAAGCGGCTTGTACTTTCTCCTTCCATCTGCCCGCACTCCACCTCCAGCGGGTCTGGGGCCTCAGCTGTCTCGCTGCCCTTGATACAACACCTTTACCAAGTCATATTCGTATTCCGAAAGAAACGGCCGCCGCCCACGCGCATCGCAAGATGAATGCCAGCGGCGCTTGGACGGTCCGCCGCGCGGCCAGTAGCGATGCGTATAAAGTCTGCGATTGTTAGACCCACTATTATCTATCTCAGCCCTTTGAGACCGCTCCAGCTCCTCTCCAATGAAGTTCTTCGCCGTTCTTGCATCCCTCGTCGCTGTCGCCTCGGCGCAGTCGGTCTCATTCACTACGCCGAGGTCGGGTGGCACGCTGACGCGGGGTGCGCCCACGACGATCGTCGTGCAGCGCCCGGTGAGTACCCTATGCACCTAGAGCAACATAACCAGATCCTTATACGACAGCAGGTGACTTCGACGCCTGTCCAATCAGTGTCCATTGTCATCTCTCTTGACGCCTGCACTGGCTCGTCTTGCCCGAACCCATCGTCGGCCCTTGGCACCATCCTCTTCGCAGGTCCATTCACCCCGGCCGGATCGCCGCCGTCTCAGTCGTTCAACGTGACTATCCCGACGACATTCCCTGCCGGCGAGGCTGAAATCCTGGCGACCCACTTCTCGCTCACTGGGGTAAGAAACCGCCATTATGAGGTTCCCGATACACGTACTGACATTGTCGTAACTTCAGACGGGCCCTACTGCGTCCACCGAGATCGATGGCGAAATCATCTTCGTGCGTTGAGCGCCTGTGAGACTGAGCTCTGACCACGTAATTCACGATCTTCTCTCCCGTACATACACTTGAGCCACGTTCGCCGCGAAATGTGTATCACGCAGATCACCACATTCAATATAGTCAGAAATCATTGTATTCATCAACAAATAGCAGGCAGCACACATCCAGGGTGACATATACACGAAGCAGAGACGTAAAAAGTATAGAAAAAGCACGTAAGGACCAAGGAGATCGATGTGAAGTGGTATATACACCCGCCCAAGGTCCAAGAACGGCCGAACGGGGAGATGATAGAGCAAATCGAGGAAGAGGGTCATGAGGGGCTGAACAGAGCGTAGATCGTGAGAGAGATCATCAATTGTGGGAGGGGGATCGCTGGGGTCGTGTAGTCGTGGGCGTAAGAACAGGGCCATAAACGACGTAGACGTGGGTTCGTGCAGCGGAAGGAATGTGATGTGTGGTAGTAACACGGTGATTCAGGAGCAGATAGACGTTTGACAGACAGAGCTAAATAGAGATGACGAGAGATGAGATTGAGTTCATGGAGATGGGACGAGAGCAGTACGGACGAAGATAGCATACTGGGGAGTAGCAGTGTAGGCAGAGCGGACGCAAGGAGAAGAGCACTGCGACGAGCGGAGGTGATGGTGGGATTGAGATGTGTCCCGAGATACACCAGACAATATGAAGCATAAGCAAATGCGAGTAGAGGCATGCGATGTGCGATGAAGAGCTTGATTGAGAAGAACCTTGGGGTCAACGACTCCGGCGGGCCAGCAACCGGGCGTCGGAAACCAGATGACTAGGCAACGAGGCGGGACGAGGGCCGGCGTACGATGGCCTTGAAGGCATCGCGTACTGTCCTGACGGCGGTGTTCGAAGTCTTGCCGCCAGGCGAGAGCACGCTATCGCGCTGGCTGGCGTGCATGACACCGAGCTCATCGACGCTCTTGTTGCCATTCGTCTTCACAGCCCGGTTCTCCTTATCGCGCCCAGCACGAGCGCGCAGTACATCCTCGCTGCGGCGCGTGAACACATCTGAGGAGCTGACCGGCGGCGGCATCGCGCGACGCGCAGTGTGGAAAAGGCGAAGCGGAGGGCGCGAAGGGCCGGCGGGAGATGAGACAGTGTTGCTGACCAGGTGCTCGACCGGGGCATTGCCCTTGTGTTCGACAGGGCCATCACCGCGCGATGCTTCATAGCCACGACCGTGACGGCGAACACCGGATGTTGCCATGAGGAAGCGGTCATAGACACCCTCGACCCGACGAGCAGTCGGAGAATCGATAGCGGGCGCTGCGACGGTGCGGACCGGATACGGCTTGACCTCAAATGGACTGGAGTTGAGACTGTTCGCAACAGGCGGCGTGAGGCTGAGGCGCGTGGTCGGAGTATGCGGTGCGTCGAGCAAGGGTGTTTGAGGCGGGTCATCGAAGTTCAGCGTGGTAGGCCCGGGAGTAGACGACGTCGAGCTCATGAACACGTCGCGATCGACATAGGCAGAGAGCCTGCGAGACGAGGGCGGGCCAACTTCTACTTCCGTTGTCAAGCGATCAAGCTCGAGCGACAACTTTGCGCGTGGCTGGATAGCTCGTTGGAGGTGAAGGTCGTTCTGGCTGCGGCTCTTCTTGTGCGGGCTGTCCTCAATGGCGCTAAGGTCGGCGGTGTCAATGTTGCGCGACTTCTCCGGGGACAGACCCAACACAGTTGCGCGGCGAGCACGACGCGGGCTCTCAAGGAACGACTCTGACGGGATGGTCGGAATTGTCTCATTGGGACCGGGTACGCGAGAGCTCGTCGAAGCCAACAACGTCGTTGAGTTGGCTGTCTGCCCGAAACCAGTCGAGGTAGTTGGGCTGGGCGCAGCACTCATGTACGACGCATCAAAGATCTCGCTAGCTGCAAGGATCTTGCGAGGCATGCGGTTGCTGGCACGGAAGGAGCTCGACGCGCCAGCCTCGCGGTTGCGCGAGCTAGAGCGTGCCGGTGCAAGCGGTAGGGGCGGGAGTGCTGAGCTACTGCCGCTTGCGGCGAAATTCTGGCGAGCCTCATCGACAACTTTCTCGACGTTCTGTAGCCAGATGGTCATCCTATCCGCGCGCGCATCGGCACCAGCGCGGTCGTTGCGGCGCGCTTGGCGCACAACGGGAAGCGAGGTATCCGCGTTTTCGTTGCTGTCCTGATCGAAGGATGCGTCGGCACGGGGACCGAGCTCAGCAAGACTCAAGTCCGGTACGCGCTCAGAGGCAGAGGTACTGGGGCGGCGAGAGAAGCCAAGACCAAGGTTGAGGGAGGCTTTGTACAAGTTGAAGGAGCGGTCTGTGGAGGGATATGAGTATGCCGACCACCACAGGGAATATACCGTCACATACCGATGCTCGCCTTGAAGCTCTGCCTGAGCACGTTGAGACCAGACTCGCCCATTGATTGGTCATGGCTGGCCCGAGGAACCGAGTCTTGGAACAAGTCGAAGTTCATGTCTATATCACAGAGTGAAGGGGATGAAGGAGTTGCGGGTGGCGCAGAAGGTTCGAAAGAGAAGGAAAGAAGAGCGAAGAGCGTCAAGTTAGCATGCGTTTCGAATGTGGCAGGGCACACGAGCCAATATGTAGACACGTACCAGGCGACAGCGGCGAGGCAGGCATGCTGGGCTCGGGCGTGCGCGATCGTGCGTGGGTTGGACGGAAAGCGTGCATAGCAGGCCTCGGTAATTGCAACTTGTAATCACCCGAGCTGGTCCTGGACGAAGCGCCGTTCCATTCCTCGCCAAAGCCAGAGCTACGACGATCTGACATAGCTGGGCGCTCCTCTTCGTTTTCCGAGTCCGCATGGGTCGCGACCAGAATGGGCGACGCTGCGCGGTCGGAAATGGGTGTTGCTGCGCGTAATCCCGGAGAGGGAACGGCATCGGTTGCTTGAGCCCGCATAGCCTCACGAACCCGCTCCCACTCGCGCATCCTGTCACGGACACTGCCGACCGACTTGCCCTCATCGGAAAAGCCTGAAGCGTTGCCTGTGGCGCTTGTGTTCGCAGCGCTAATGTCTACAGCGCCTGTATCGGCATCTGTGGGTGCAAGATGGGCGCGGTTGCGAGTGCGAGCGGTGACATCGGTCAGTGCGCCTGTGCGGCGATGACCAGCGGGTGGCAAGCCCGGCGGTGGGGCGACCTTCGAAGCGGTCGCAGGCTTATTGATTCCCAAGGGTTTCAAGCCCGACGGCTTGGACGGAGGGGACACGACGGTCTTGGTTACGGGGGAGAGGGCCGAGGGAATGGGCTTCCGACGCATGCCAGGCGACGAGGTGTTCTCCTTATTGCGGTTCTCCTTCGCCTGGCGGCGGGCAGACGCCGGGGAGCCTGGAATCGGTGCAAGACGCTTGCTATTGATGGTGGACGCTTGAACTAGAAACACATATGAGTTATGGATGACAATGTTGAGATAAAAACCCTTACGAGCGGCAGTACGCGAAGAGACGACTTGGCTTTGAGAGCGCCCATGGCCGTTGAGAGTAGCAAGGGCGCTTTTGGGCCGAGGAGACTCTCGAATCTCCCCGACCTCCACGTCTTCCACTTTCGGAAGTGAGTCCTTGCGAACGAGACCCGAGGCGATACTCTCCTTGCGAACGAGCTTCGCGGAAATATTTGACTCTTTGCGCGTGAGACTGGGCTTGGGGCGCAAGCTGCCAGCCTTGGAGGTGGTAGCGGCTTTGTCCTTTGGAGCCAGCTTGGAAGCAGACGCCTTGGGTGCAATCTTTGAAGTCGGGATCCTAGATGGGACAAGATTCTTAGATAGACGCCTGGTAGCCCACGGCGAGATGATGTCAAGAATCCCCGCCGAACCAGCACGCCTGTGGGTGGGGGTCATATTTGCGGATACGGCGCGTTCTGAAGGTAGATTAGAATCATATAATGACGAATCAACATATTGTAGAACTTACTGTGCATCGAAGATACTGTCTCGCGATCGTGCGTCCAGTACGCATCCGCAAGTACGTCAGGCGCATAGCAGCGCAAGTCTGCATTGGGCTGGACCATGCGACGAAGCAACCGTTCAACGGCCTTGCTCATCTTCCATGTGCCGACCCACTTGCCGCGTACAGTACGCTGCCAATACTTTTCGAGGTCCTCCTTGCTCGTGAAAGACTCGCCCTCGGCAGCCTCGAATGGTGTGCGTCCCACGAGGATCTCGAAGAATGTTACACCGAGCGCCCACACGTCTGCCTTGCGCGTGTCGTGGGGCAAGCCACGAGCACGTTCAGGGCTGAGGTACTCTGGTGTCCCGTACGTGAGGTTGGAGTGAAACGCCTGTGCGCTCTTCGTGTCGTACTTCTCCGCAAAGCCAAAGTCGACAAGAACGGGCACCCTCTCCTCCGACAAAAGGATATTGGCGGGCCTAGAGACGGGGAAAGCCGCGTTAGCCGAATTATATCACAAGGCACATCAATACGATCGTCGCACTTGATGTCGTTGTGCACCACGCCTCGCCGGTGCAGGAAAGCGACGGCGTCGAGCAGAGAGTGCATCCATTCCTTTGCGCGAGGTTCTGCGATTTCGACCGGGACTAGTTGGGGTAGATAGGCCATAGTGATGAGGGCGTAGGATGGCGTAATGATGAACGAGTGGAATGGGACAATGGACGGGTGTGCGTCCTTCTTGAGGGTGCGCACAATCTTCATCTCGTTCCATCTAGGCATGCGTCAGAGGGTAGAAAGTAGGTATGTGCGTGGGAGACTCACAGTGAACGGACTCGTGCGGCGGTCGTTGTTGTCTTTGACCGGTGCACGAGCTTAACGGCGAGCTTGACGTGCTTCTCATCCCCGTTCTTCGGGCTGCATAGCCAGACGCTTCCCCAGTTTCCAAAGCCTATCTGAAACCGGATTTAGTCGATAATGACGCGCCAGGAATGCATTAATTGACAGCTAACCTCCTTGATGAACTGCAGGCGGTCTGCGAGGGCATGGTCCGACAGCGAGAAGATGTCCGTCGCGTCCTGCGACGGCGGGGTCATGGCTAGTGATGATACAGACTTGCGATGCGAGAGCAGAACGACGGTGGACAGGGCCCAGGGGCGGCAAGTCAGGGAACAAGACCAAACGCCACGGACGGAAGCAAACGCGACTGTCTCATTTGAACTTCACATCACGGGACTGAAGCCTACAAACCCAAACAGGCTCAAACACCATGAGGTTCTCCCCAGAACGTTCTCAAGCCTCTTGCGTTCTGACGTCAACGGGTTGTTCTGATCCGACCACCATGCTTTGTTCGTATCCGCATGGTCAGGGCATATCTTCAATTAAAAACACAATTGCAACCTCCGGTACAACACTGCTACGCGCCGAAGTGTACAAACGGAACCCAGCGCTCGAAGCTGTTCTCGCCAATCTTATCCCGCAACGTCTTCACCGCTGCATGGAGGGCATAAGCCGCACCAGTTCCTCCCCTACCATTAACATTCGCCCTCCGCAGTGCGACCAGCTCCTGATAGTACGCCTCGACCACGACCGGCGCGTCTGCGTCCCAGATGGACCACATCGTCGCGACGACGCCCTTGAACCCGACCGAGAGCATCCCAGCCGCGAGATGAGCGGACTCCTCGGGGATGTTCTTGTCGCCCGTGGCCGTCTGACACGCGGAGAGAAACGCCAACTCTGCCTCCCCCGAAGCTTTGCTCATGAGCGCGGACAAGGTCAAAGGCCCGTCGAAGAGCTCGAACGCGCTCTCTGTGGGGTTCTTCGTGTTCTGCGATGCATGGCATGCAAAGTGCACCCACGGATGCTGATCGAGGACGGCAAGGGTAGCCCGGACGGTGGCCTGCATGTGCTCGAGAATGGTACACGGGTGCTCAGATAGCACCTTGCGGATGCGAAGACCCTCATCCCTAGTCCCAGGAAGACGAGCTTGTCCCGGCGTCGCCGGCTGCGTCAGGATGAGTATGCTTGGCGACGCACGACGCTCGGCGCCCGATTGGTAGCATCGTAACAGGGCCGTTAGGGATGGCGCGTAGGACGACACCACGTAGTCAAAGACGCGTTGTCCTAGTTGCGGGGACGGACCATAGACTCCAGCGGCATGCAACGGTAGTTGTGCGAGCGGTCCAGTTGGGCACCAGGTTACGTGCGGCAATAGCTTGCCTGACCGTGTAGGGGACAGCTGCGGGAAGACAGGTCAGTTCGAAATGGATAGGCGAGACGCATCAGGTGAACGTACCAGCCCCAATTCTTGCAGAATGGGTTTCACGACCAAAGTCCAGATACGCTCGAGGAGGTGCACGAACGAGTCCGAGGCTCCCTGCATAGGCTGACTGCGATACGACGTAGCACGAACGCTTGTTCTGTGAGCCTCGATGCCACTCTTCCACATTGAATATAGCTTGTTTGCGCCTTGCTCCGTGACACGTGGCAGCGGTATGTGGCGAACGTGACCCTCAGGAGATACGACGACAGCATCGCATTGGGATTCGACGACGTTGAGGAATATGACAGGACCGTCCACCTTGGATTGCTTGAGGGAAGCCATGATATCCGGGAACTTCTTTTGCAGTAGGAAGCTTTCGAACCCTTCCAGTTGCCGGATCTCCTTCAAGACTTCTTCGTAGCGAAGAGCCGTCCTGCGGTATTGTTCGCCGACCTCGTCCGCAGCGATACCGGGGACTCCGTAGGCGGCGCCGTCGACACGCGAGCGTGGGCGTAGATCGAATGGGTCGTCGTACTGTAAGCGTCGCAGATCGTCCCTTGCTCTTGTCAGATCTGCAGCGAGCTCGGGATGCAGGCGCGCCAGATTGTTAAGAGGAGTTTGTAAAGACAGAACCTGCGACCAAATGAGAGCTCGTCCCGATTCTAGCCACTCCACGCAGAGCGAAAGAGACCGTGTCTTTATAGCGAAGGCGATCGCCGACGTGACGAGTTTCCCGAATCTTGCTGATTCCTTGTACCGTTTCTGGGGATCGCGACCTAGCCAGACGATTTCGGGCAGAAGGTCAATCGTAAGCGAGTAAGTGAGTAGCACGGTATCGGGAGTGCTGAACTCAGGAGCCAGTGAATGCATGTCCATGAACTTTTCCGCGGCGTACAAGCGCATCTCAGGATCGCCGTCCTTGTGGTGCATGATGTCAGTGAGGCATTGCACAAGATAGTCGAAGTTCTTCTGGCTCCTTTCCCAAAGGAGTAGCGCACATAGACTGGTGCTAAGATGAAGGAGAATGTGAGTATGTGGGAATTGGCCAGTGCACGCCGTCTGTACGGCGGTCCGCAGGGTTATGATGGACATCCGAAGATCTAAGATGTTGTGTGTTTTCACAGCCCGGTGGTAGAGCAGGCTTCCTAGAATGCCGTTGCACTGCGCCTTGTGCATGTCGTGAAGCTTCGCAAGCTCGAGCGCGCGCCGGCAGGTAGAGATCGCATGTTCCAAGTCATCATAGCCTCCGAACAACTCGAAGCGCCGCATCAGGCAGGTGGCGCGGTTCGCGATTGCACCATGCTTGTAGATAGAGTCATCAGCGAACTGCTCGATAGCGAGTTCGTACAAAGACTGTGCTCTGTCAAGGTCCGAAACAACACCGCTCTCGCGCAAGCGTTCCAACATGTCCTGATGGGCTTTAGATCTCGAATCGAAGAAGCGTTTAGCCTCCTCGGGACTCATGGGAGGCTTAGAATCCCACATACGACCTGATTCGCGGTCAAGGCCCCATATTCTCAAGCAGCGCTTCATAAAGCAGTTGCCAAGGTCCAGTCGAGCGCCAGGCTTCAGCGAATGGCCATCCGGGATGAGCTTAACCAATCTCTCCAAGGTGATGATAGCGCTGTCGAGGTCTTGCGGGTCACCGAGGCGCTCGAAGCGACTAGTCAAAGTCATGCCCAAGTTGGCGAGAAGAAATGGTTTGTAGGGCTGATCATCGGGGGTTATATCTATGGCTCGATGAATCGTGTGGAGCGCGCTCTCCAGGTCGGCGAGACGCCCGAGAAGATCGAAGCGACCAAGCAGCAGTCCACTGGTGATGTCAAGCATTTGCGGAAGCCTGTGATCGCTGCTGGGCAACGGTACGATGAGTTCCCACATGGTTGCAATGGCACGGTCTATGTCCGCGGGGTCTCCTAGGAGCTGAGAGCGATGGAATAACGAGATGCAGAGGTTGGTCAACAGATCTAAGTTCATATGCATGTTGACGGGATTCATGTCGATAGCGCGCTCGTAGTAGGCTATCGCGACTTGCAGATCAAGAACCTGACCTCCTGAGTGTCTAAAGCGGGTGGCAAAGCACTGGCCAAGAAGGCCGAGCCGCATACGTCGGTAGTGTCCCGTAAGCTTTCTGATAGGGCAGAGAATACGAATAGCTCGCTTGATATCACTGATTCCGCCCACCCTAGCAGATCCTGCAACTAGAAGCTGACCGAGAAGACATTGCCACTCAGGCCGCGCCTCAGGGTGAAGGTCGATCGCGTACTGCAGGATCGACGTGAAGCTTCGGATGTCATCCTCACTACCGTCGATCTCGAGGCATTGTTCCCAGAACATATGAGAGATGAACGCGAGTAGAGTCGCCTTCTTAGGATCCGGTCTGATAGGTGAAGGTCGTGGCCGCGCCTGCGCGTTGGCTTTTCGTTTCTACATCCAGGTTCGCTCAGCATCGTAGAGTAGCATGATGCAACGGTCTCACATACCTTGGATGAAGGCTTATCAGACATGACGACCTTTACCAGGTGTATCAGCGAGCCCAGACTGTTGCTGTGTCGCAAAAGGAGGAGGGTAATCAGTGCGGGTTGGTACTGGCATTACTTCGCCGCACACGACGTTTTAAGCCTGCCTGTTCATAATGGGTCTTTGTGCCTATACAGTGGCGGGCGAAGAAAATATAAACGCAAAAGGTACTCCCTATGACCGTCCTTGCGTCGTTCAAGAGCATGAAGCGCCCTTACCACAATGCACGACAAGTATCCACTTGGGCACTTGATTCTGCGAATCGACTGACAATGAGAAGCACTCAAAGGAATACATTGACCCATTCTCGGTGTCGCTTCTTCGTTGCATAGCCCCTACAGGGCCGCACAAAGAGCTGTGATAGGCTCGCTTCACGATGATCATGGGGGACAGGAAGAAAGCGACGAAGCGCGCAGCGCGCGCTTGACGCTCGCCGTTCGCCATCAAAGTTGCGCGCACGTGGCTGCAAATCGAAAAATCCTCAGCCTGCCTCCTCCGCCCACTGAACTCACAATCATGGCCGAGTACGACCTCACAAAGACGGTGATCCCGTACCTGGACCGCCACCTATCCTTCCTGCTGCTTGCGCACCTGACCGAGCTCAAGGTCTTCCCGGCCGAAGATGTATTGGCCATGCAGTTTCCTCGTTGCGCGCGGCGACCCAAATCGAGCATAAATCAATATAAACAATACCCGTCCTGTACTTGTCCGTTGCTCACGAGTATAGTTTGTGCCACGGGTTTCCTGTACTCCTGCATATACTGAGAGCATGCCATATCGCTATTCAAGCCCCGGAAGCATACAGAACTACATTTTCTTGATATCGCAGCGGACACCATGGGTCGGACTAATATTGAAGATCAAACCTTCGGCACAAACACGGGTCCGACTAGCGTATCGCGATTTGCGACTTCAATGAATCTGACTGTGGGCCATGCCCTGCAACCTTCGACACAACACTGCTACGCGCCGAAGTGTACATACGGAACCCAACGCTCGAAGCTGTCCTCGCCAATCTTATCCCGCAGACACTTCACCGCTGCATGGAGGGCATAAGCCGCACCAGTTCCTCCCCTACCATCAACGTTCGCCTTCCGCAATGCAATGAGCTCCTTATAGTACGCCTCGACCACGACCGGTCCGTCTTCATCTTTAATAGACCACATCGTCGCGACGACGCCCTTGAATCCGACCGAAAGCATTCCCGCCGCGAGATGAGCGGACTCCTCGGGGATGTTCTTGTCGCCCGTGGCCGTCTGACATGCCGAAAGAAACGCGAGCTCAACGTTTTTCGAAGTCTTGCCCATGAGCGCTGACAAGGTCAACGGGCCATCAAATAATTCGAACGCGCTTCTCGTAGGGTTGATCACGTTCTGCGACGCGTGGCATGCGAAGTGTACCCAAGGATGCTGATCTAGGACGGCGAGAGTGGTCGCGACGGTGGCTTGTTCGTGCTCAAGGGTCGTATACGGGTGCTCAGCCAAGACTTCGCGGATACGTATTCCTTCGTCCATGGTCCCTGGAAGAGGGTCCTGTCCCGGCGTCTCCGGTTGTGTTAAGATGAGGATGCTTGGTGAAGCACAGCCCTCGACAATTGGCTGGTGGCACGATAGCAAAGCAGATATCGAGGGTGTGTATGATGACACCACGAAGTCGTGCACGCAACGGGTCGCTTGCTGAGATCCATCGTAGATTCCCGCAGCATGCAAAGGCAGTTGAGTGAGTGGCCCGGTCGGACACCAGGTTACGTGCGGCAATCGTCCGTTCAATGGAGCTTCTGACATCTGTGGGAAGATGATTAGCTGAGGAGGGATGTCTGGTACATATCGTGAGGAACTTACAAGATCCATGGCACTGAGGATGGGTTCCACAATCCAAGTCCAAATGCGCTCAAGGAGGCGGATGATCATGTGGGAACTTCCCCTCAACTGATCGTAAGGTGCTGTAGCACGAACAGACGCTCTGTAAGCCTTCAAACTGTTCTCGTAGATCGAACATAACGTGTGTGCTCGTTCCTCTGTGAGCTTTGTAAGGGGTATCCGGCGTAAGTGACCGTTGCATTTGCCGGGCGAAAATTCGAAAACCAGAGCATTGCACTGGGGTGTGCCGACGTTCAGTATTATGACGAGGCCAGTCAGTTGGGTTTGCTTTAGAGATCTCCATGTATCGGAGAATGGTTTTGGGGATAAGAATCGCTCAAAACCCTTCATTGTTCGGATTTGGTATATGCATTCCTCGTAACGGAGAACCAATCGTCGGTAATGCTCTCTGCCGTTACTAGTTGAAAGGTCGTTCATACCAGAGACAGCGCTGGTGTTCCATGAGTGCAAACCGAGAATGTCTTCCTGCTGAAACTGCTGCAACTGATCTCTGATGTCGCATAGAGATTTAGCGAGGACAGGGTGGAGGCGAGCAAGTTCGTCGACAGGAGTTCGTAAGGATAAGACCTGCGACCAAATCAGAGCCCTTCCCGACTCTGACCAGTCTAAAGCATGCTGTATATACCCGTGATTGATAGCAAAAGATACCGCAGAAGTGACAAGTTTTCCTATCTTTCTCGAAACTCCGTAACGTGCTCGAAGACTAAGACCTATCCAGACGTACTCTGGGAGGAGATGCATCAGGCGTGAGTGGGAGATCAGGACGTAGTCTGATGTGCTAAGACCACCTGGATTATCATGGAGAAAGGTAGAACACTTGGCAAGCAGATCATGGTTCTCCGAGAGCCACTGTACGAATCCTTGGGCAAGCTGCAGTCGCACGGCTGGATGGGATCCGATCTCCTTCTGCGTTATAAGTAATTGACAGCGGAGAATCTCGTCAAAGTCTTCAAGGTTCCTATGTTGAGCGAAGCGGATCTTAAGACTGATGCTAAGATGAAAATGCACAATTACGATTGGGGTCGAGTGAAAGCTATCGCTCACGACCTCGGCAGCGGCCCTTTGAAGAGCGATCGCTTCATCAAGATCTGCAATACTTCCTCTTGCACGAAAGCGACGAACCATCAGGATCCCGATGCCGGTCAGATCCTGCGCCCTATTTACAGCCTCACGTGTGTCCGGGAGATCAAGAGCATGCCGGAGAGTTGAAATAGCGTCCTCTAAGTCGGATAACTCTCCAGTCCATACATATCGAGACTCGTAGCAAACAGCCAGGTTATGGAGGATGATAGGATACCTCTCATCAGCAGGGAAAGGTATCAATGCAGCTGCAGCCTTATGAGCTAGCAACGCGTCTTCGATATCGGAAGAGGCGCCGACGAACCCTGTCAAAAACTCAGGGACGTGCTTTTGAGCGCCGTGCGGAACAGAAACCGGCATAGGCGAACGCGGAGATCCTTTGGGAGCGTCGAGTCCACGAGTCCGCCATACGCCATAACGCATATTGAGACAGTTGCCGAGCTGTGTCAATATATCGAGTTTCCGAGGATGCTTGTCGGGCGTAAGCTCAGCCGCCCTTTTTAGGGTATTTATGGCTTCATTTAGGTATTTCACGTCCCTCACGTCCCTACAGTAGTCGAAGCGAAGTGCCAATGAAGCACAGAAAATAGCCGTTTGCGATAGGAACGAGTCATGAACAGCGACCTGTCGGTCCCTCGATACGATTTCCCTGGCTACCCTCCAATTAACCATGATATTCTCGAGATCAGATAGTCGCTCGAAGGTCCGAAAACCAAGCATGTAGAGGGTGCTGGATATTCTGAGCGACTCAATGAGCTGATAGTCGTCGTTGGAGGTAACCGCGGCCAGTTGATCCATTGTCATGATGGCACGTTGCAAGTCCGCTCCATCGCCCAAGACCTGAAAGCGTCGAGCTAGACAGGCGCACAAGTTCGTTGTCACGCGCCGCAGTTCATCGGGGTTGCTATCGGGAGCTGTAGCAACTGCTCGCTCGAAGAACGCCAGGGCGACGTGCAGGGTGCCGATATCACCGCCTGCATCTCTAGAACGTGCGGAAAAACAGACGCCGAGGACTTCGAGGCGCCGATTCTGCATCTTGTCACTGACGTCTTTGATAGAGAAGAGGATAGATATAGCCCTCTCAATGTCTTGAGACATGCCGGTGATATCACGGCGATGCACCAACCAACAAGCGAGAGTGAAGGACCATTCCTGCCGATTCATAGGATGAATGTGGATCGCCTCTTGAAGAATTGATATGGCATCTTGAAGATCTTTGAGGTCTTTTGTGTTAGCGTACAGCACCCATAGGCTGTAGGCAATGAAAGCGAATAGAGTTGCCAACTGCCGGTCCTTTTCAGAAGGTACAACTCGCCGCCGTGCGTTGGCTCTCCGTTTCTGGGCGCAGGTCCACTCAGCGTCGAGCTATGGCATGGTGCGACAATTTTACGGACCTTGGATGAAACGCTTTCAGGCATGAATTCTGTACGCGAAGCGAAGACGGGTTCTGTCTTGTAGGATGCGAGAGAGAAATGTGGGTCGTTGGAAGGCTGCCACCGCTGAGCCTGATGTTTATAAACTTATTAGTCTCGATGCTCTTTGTGTCTATCTGAACACGTAGGTGAAGGGTTTGCTCGCGTCCTTGGTCCCTTTCATCTTTCAAAAGCGTGGCAAAGGATTCCGCTGTCGATGAAAAGCGTCCATTGAAAGGGCAGTTGTATAGCATGGCAGAAGAGAAGAGTGTACCGCAACGAAGTTGTCTCAATCTCTTGGGACGGGCTGACGTTGACCTGAGTCGCGAATGTGACTATGGTGCCATTGAGGCTCATTTCACAGACAGCCTGCATCGGGTCACAAAGGCTTGTGAAAGGCTTGTGCCAAAACGGCCATGGAGGACAGGAAGAAAGCGACGCAGCGCGCGGCGCGCGCTTGACGCTCGCCGTTCGCCATCAAAGTTGCGCGCACGTGGCCACAGATCGAAAAATCCACAGCTTGCCTCCTTCACCCACTGAACTCGCGATCATGGCCGAGTACGACCTCACAAAGACGGTGATCCCGTACCTGGACCGCCACCTATCCTTCCCGCTACTCGCGCACTTGACCGAGCTCGAGATCTTCCCGGCCGAAGATGTACTGGCCGCGCAGTATGAGCTTGCCAAGGGCACAAACATGGTCGACTACGCTGCCAGTCTGTTCGAGCAGCTGCACCCTGGCGATGAGCCTCCAGCAGGTACGTCTATACCATACAACTTGCTGTATGCTAGAATCTGATCTAACGATCTCACAGAATTCGCCGCAAAACGCGACTCTGCCGTCGCAACAAACGAGCGGCTGCAGCAGGAAGCTCAAGCCGTACTGGACGTGATCGAGAAGCCCGAAGTCGCCCAAGCTCTCCGCCAAGACAAAAATCAAAACCTGGCGTTCCTGCGCGACAACTACCAAGTGACGCCGCAGCAGATCGAGGCGCTGTACAACTTCGGCCAGTTCCAGTACTCGTACGGAAACTACTCGGGCGCCGCGGACTACCTGTACCATTTCCGCGTGCTGAGCACGGACGCGGAGAAGAACCTGAGTGCGAGCTGGGGGAAGCTCGCGAGCGATATCTTGACGGGAAAGTGGGACACCGCGCTGGAGGAGCTCGCGAACCTCCGCGACACACTCGACGCGCGCGCAGCGGCACCTGCGCTGGCCAGCGACTCGCGCGCCGGACTCTACGCACGTGCATGGCTGCTGCACTGGTCTCTGTTCGTGTACTTCAACCACCCCACCGGCCGCCAGACGCTCCTCGAGACCTTCCTCGCACCCGCCTACCTCAACACAATCCAATCCGCCTGCCCCTGGGTCCTCCGCTACCTCGCCGTCGCCGCCGTTCTCGCACGGGGCGCGCCCAGGTCACGATACGCGCTCAAAGACGTCGTGCGCGTCGTCTCCGCCGAGTCGTACCAGTACTCGGACCCCGTCACGCGCTTCCTCACCGCGCTCTACACCGACTTCGACTTCTCGTCCGCGCAGGCCGAGATGGCGGCGGCGGAAGCGCTCGTGGCGGACGACTTCTTCCTGTCCGAGTTCCGCGCGGAGTTCGTGGAGAACGCGCGGTACCTGGTCAGCGAGGCGTACTGCAGGATCCACACGCGGATCGACTTGGGCGTGTTGAGCGGCGTGCTGAATATGGAGCCGGCGGAGGGCGAGAAGTGGATCGTGAACTTGATCAGGGATACGAAGATGGGCGCGGACGCGAAGATCGATCTCGAGAAGGTTGGTACTGTACACTCTCTGTATTCTGCGCGTACGCTGACTTGCGGTGAAGAACGTCATCGCCATCAACCGTCCAGCACAACCCGTATACCAGACCGTCATCGAGAAGACGCGTGGGCTCGCTCTTCGCACACAAGCACTCGGTGCTGGCACCGTGCGTGCACCGGTCGAGGCCGCGCGCGGCTGAGCATCTACGTCTATATCTGGGAAGGAGAGCGCAGGCAGTGCGCCTGCCAAAATGTACTTATTGTACGGGAGCCTCTGCTAGATAGCTCGCTTGTGTTCATTCTGTTCTGTTGTCTCGCCATTGCTGTAGCGATAGTGTACACTTTCTTCATCGATCCGCCTCATTTTCTCCTTGCGCACGCAAGGGACCTGTACTTTTGCTTTCTTAGTTGGGTTGCTTTGCAATTTGGCAGCAATTACTCAGTGAACGCAGCCAGTGCAAACGAATGAGCGCCGAAGTAGGCCGAAGTACGTAGGCCGTCGGGCTGTCGGGCCGAAGCCTCCGAACGGCGCGCGCGCAAGTTCGTCGCGCGTTTGGGCCGCAGGTACTCCCGAACCACCATGTGTGCTACGCGTTGTTTGCTAGAACTGTCATTAACCGATTGCTATACTCTTCCTCTGCCCGCTCGTACTCCTCCGATACGCTTACCCTCGATGGAGCCATGGTGACCCTGATGTTGGCCTCCGCTGTTTGTGGTAGCCACGAGTGTGGTTGACCGCACCAGACCTACAAAAGCAGGCCGTACGCCACAAGATAATATCGCGCCCGAACTCCAGGCTATGGCGCACACCACCGACCGGCCGACAGACGACAACATCAATCCGCCACACGCTCCCACCGCGCGTCCTATAATCCCGCTCCCGCTCCCGAAGTACCTAGGTTGCCACCTGCACGGTCTCGCCATTACCAGCTACCGGCCCACACCGCCGCCCACCCTTCGACCTCTACCATCCGGACTCGATCCCACCATGGACCCGACACGCCATCCGCCCGTCGCGCGCCTGCGGCCCAAGCGGCCGCCAGGTCTGCCCTCGACTGCTCGACCCAATGAACCATCCACCTTCACTACGCCCGAGTCTTCTGCGCCAGACGACGAACTGGACACGGACGCGAAGAAAAAGCTCAAGATAATTGCGTTCATTCCTAGGCTCCCGACCTCTGAGCTGGTGTTTGCGCTCGAACGAACGTCGCGCACGGTCGAGGGACCTGTCAGGTCGGAGTCGGATCAGTACAGGTGGCTTGTGCAGTTGAAGGGGAGGCTTGAGGCTGAGATTGCGCTGCGGCAGCAGCAAGACGAGGATGAACAGCGCGACCGTCTGGTGGCTGGGCCTTCATCCGTAGCCGCGAGCGAGCCACCCGCGCAACACGAGCCGGCCGCTGGCACCTCGCGGGCTGCTATGCAGGCTCAACCGCAGAAGCATGTACAGTCGAAGAGAATACGCCTCCCACTGAAACACCAGCCGTCCATCGTCGACGTCTCGCGCGGCGTATACCGTCCATTCCCCGGCGACTCCCTCCTCCGCCAAATCCTCCCCAACACCTCCCTCGAAACCGACCTCCCACTCCCGCGCCGCCGAGCGCTGGACCGCATGCGCCGCGACCTCGCTTCGAAACGCACCATCACGTCCTGCACAATGTGCGAGTGGGCGGGGCGGTACACGCCGGAGCTGGTCGACCATGTCCATGAGGCTCATCTTGATATCAAGTGGAAGTGCGATTATTGCGGAGGGGAGGAGAGGGAGAGGGAGAGGTTGGCGATGCATGTTGGGCGGGCGCATGGGGGGATGGTTGGGGAGTTTGAGGAGGGGAAGAAGTGGAGGGTTTCGCCGTTCACGGTAATGGGGTGGCATGTGTAGACGACGTATCGCTTGCATGTCCATGTAATTCTAGTAGTTTTGCACATTGTAATGATCATGAATACAGACGTTTGCCATGGACGAGCATGATATCGATTGGGACTGGCGTCACGCAGTGCCCGCGCGGCATCAATAACGAATGAATTGGTGATTGGTACAGTCAAGGAAGGGTATACAGCGCTCGGCCGTCAATGTATCGTATTCACATCTGAGCCATCCTCTTCTCGCACTCGTCCACCTCAGAGCTCGGCGACACGCCCACTTCATCAGCCTCCGTGATATCCCCATCCACATGGTCGAAATGCACCGACCGCTCGATAGTGACCGAGACTTGCGTGCTCGTAGGCTCAACGGGGCGCTCACTACCTTTCACAGACGGAAATCGCGCGACGAAGGAGCGCTTGCGATGGCCGAGAGTGCCATGTACGAGGACAGGCAGCTGGTGTCCGTCCTCTTCTCGATCTGAGAGTCGCGCGCGTTGACGGATCGAGTAGCGCGTGTTGAGGGTTATGAGGAGAGAGATTGCGTAGACTGTATTCTGCGATTAGCTCGAGTCGCAGAGGTGGGGAGGGGATACATACGTTTGGCGATTGAGAGATGGATCCCGAGAAAGATCAGGTTGTATCGCATGCAGAGCCAGCAGACGAGAGCAGCGATAGTGGCGACGGACGTGAGCGCTCCCTTGAGCGCCGAGGTTCAGAACACTACTCTCGTAGCACGGTCTGTGGTGCGCACTCACGTTATTGAACGTGTACAGGAGCAGCGTGTCGATGAGATGGTCCATGCGCTCGAACCCAGTTCGGCTCATCTGAAGGTAATAGAACATCGCCGCGGTGATGAGGACGTCGAGGGTCGCGGAGAGCGCCAGACCAAGGGTGAAGACCCACTGCGAACAACGTTCAGTTAGCTCGACCCCGGCACTAGAGAGCGAGTGGACGTACCCCGGCTTTCTCCGCGAAAGCGCTGTAACTCGCCAACGATGCGAGCTCGTACGTCGAAACAATCGCAGCAACTGGCAGACTTCATGAGCTACATCTTGAGCCGGAGTAGGGACGGCGATCTTACTCAATCTACAGAAGGCGAGCGCAGTGATCGGTCCAGTACACCACCAGTTGTACTTGCTGACTGCGCGATGTCGACGTCAGCATGGGGCAAGGAACAGAGACTCGAGCGTACTAACGCCTCAGGACGCGGTATGCGAAGAACAGGTGGACAATGAAAGTGATAGTGGCCTGCAACGAGCATGGTCAGCTAGCTAACGGCATGGACGTAAGGGGGTGTTACAGTGAACGCGACTGTCAACGCTGTTTCGCTACCGACAGTTGGTCTTTTCAGCAACAGCCCTCGGATGAGCATGAAGCGAGGCAGCATGCGCACACGTTGACATAGTCGGTCTTCTGCTCTCCAAATGACAAGGCGAAGTAGTCCCAGAGGGACGCAGCGATGAGCGCGGTATGGACAGCATCAAGCGCCCAAACCAGATACACCTATCCACAACACGATGAGCACACTACGTACTGCCTGCATCCAGCTCGGCGATCTGCGCACCAACAGCTTCACACTCCGCTTGTCCTTGTCGCCATACATGCGGAAGTAGAGAAACGCCTGACAGGCCACCACGCCTGACAATCTGTACAGGGCGCAGATCAGAACGATGCACCAGACCAGGAGCGAGATAGCGTGTGAATGAACATGAACCTACGCCATGGATATGAACCCGCCGAGGAGTATGGCCCCCAAGTTCGTCTTCACATCTGCGGTCGGGTGTGCGTCCATCTCGTAGAGCGCCTGCTAGAAGGAGATGCCAGTGCTCGCAGAAGGCGAGCAGCGACATGAGACCCCTCGTCCTTCCGCACTTATGTGAGCCTTCTCGAAGAGCGTGCTCCCGCACAGCGCCCATTGTCTACATACGCGGTCTCTGAAGCTCTGAAGCTGCATCTTTTGTTCCTATACCCTTGACATCCCGTGGGCGTCGCATGGTGAGCCCATGTCGGGTCGTGCCGCCTCCTTCTTTGGACGTCTTCCATCCATCGGGACGCCCTTCCGGGCCTACGGTTCGCATTCGCTCACAGCGCTGCCTGATACAGCCTGCGAAACGCTTGTCAAACAGTACTTAATCGCGATGCTCCGTAATGGGACTGACCTCGCGTCTGCGTGTATAGTCGAGACTTGCTCACGCACAGTCAGCAGAGACGAAGTGACACCTCCGCCGCTGGGTGTTTGGGCGTGTCCTTCTTCGCATGATCACCTGGCAGAGCACTTGGCATCGTAGACATAGAATGGCGCTAAGAGGCGCGCCGCAGATCGTAGACTAAAGGAACCTTGATACGTCGCACTGGTTCGTATGACCAATGTTCATCTCACAGTGCTCTCAAGCTGCCTTGATGACGCGCAAACACCATCCTCCAATGACAACTTGAAGACTGAGTATTCGCACGCACTCTCAGGATATCGTTATGCGCAGGCGGCGAGTGCTTGAATGTACGAGCCAGTATATGCTGTCACTGGGAGTAAGGCGTGGCCGGCCGAGCCGTTTGTAGTGAACCTGAGACGACGAAGATGGCACACTACCGGTGACAGCTACAGCGACATCATCCCAGGTTCTATGACATATGTAATGGGCGATATCTATCGGATGCTGGTGTGCCGTCCATCGTGGTGGGTACTAAGGAGGGACGGTGGATGTCCGTGGACCGTCGCGCGTTGCCCAGAGTTAAGCCGTGCTTGACGCGCCCACGTGAGTTTTGATGACCATCGATCGCCATCGGCACTCGCAGAGGCGCGAGCCCGCAGACACGCGCTGCGTTGAGTAGCCGCACGGCCGCTGAGTGCCGCAGCAAAATCGTCTACTCCCCCAAGTACAGTTTTTCTCTGTGTGTGGATATGCCTCAGAGCAACCACGCCAGTATAGAATCGAGATCACGGAACTACTGTACAATACGATATTTACTCATACGTCCATTCAGATAGAAGACGGGGTTTTCTCAAGATCGTCATTGCAATTCAGAAGGCCTGGGGATGTAGGCGGTTTATCACCAGCCACTTGCATTGGATGCCCTCCGCAGTCATCTTCCACGGTCTCACCGGGCGCGAAGTCGAAGTGTACAGTCCGCTCAACGTTGACGGAGACTTGTGTGCTTGTCGGCTCCGCCGATTGTCCGTGCCGAGATTTTGCCGCTTTGGAGGGGAAAGCGTGTTTGCCGCCGAGTCGCCCGATCGAGCTTGATAGAAAGACAGGGAGGTGAGGCGAATCTCCCTCCTGGCATCTACTGCGCCGATGGACTGAGTGACGAGTGTTGAGAGTGATGAGAAGCGACATAGCGTATACTAGGATCTCTTTAATCAGTCTGAATCGAGAGCACGCGTGTGTATTTAACTCACATTTCGCCACCGAGAAATGAATGCCGAGAAACACGAGGTTATCGGACATCGCTAGCCAGCAGATCAGCGACGCCACGGTAGCTATAGAAGGTAGCGCCCCCTATACAAATAGCATCAATAGCATGTTAGGGTGTGAGAAAGCTCATGCTGATCCTACATTGTTGAACGTGTACAAAAGCAGCACGTCAATGAGATGATCCATGGAATGAAAGCCTGTTCGGCTAGTTTGCAAATACCAGCCCGTCTCCGCGGCAATTGAGATATCCAGAACCGCAGACAGAGCAAGAACGAGCGTGAAGACCCACTAACACGCAGCGAATGAGAGCACGATCATCTAAAAGCCGAATAGGGCTCACCTTGTACTGTTCTGAGAACGCTGTATAGCGATGCAACCTCCCCAACTCGTAAGTCGATGCAATGGCTGCAGCTGACACACGGGTCAGATAACAATCAAGCAGGATAGAGTCATGTTAAGGTACATACCCAAGCGACAGAAGGCGAGGGCTGCTATGGGCGCCGTACACCACCAGTTGGATCTGCTGACTACTCAAAATCAGTACAAGATGCTCCATGAGCATGAAAGCGGTCGACTGACGCCTGAACACACGAGAGGCAAAGAAAAGGTGCACTATCAAGGTGATCACCGCCTGAATACGACATCAGCGTAAAATAGTGCCTCCTCTCTCGACGAACTCACGGTGAAGGCAAGGGTGAGCGCTGTCTCCCTGGGTATGACGTCAGTAAACCTTCAATATATCCCAAACATTCGTCTCTCACAGATTGACATTATCTGTCTGATCCTTGTCTCCGTACCCCAAGGCGAAATACTTCCACAAGGCCGCCGCTATGAGTGCAGAGTGCACGCAGTCCATGACCCACACAAGCCAAACCTATCGTCATTCGGCATCAGGTCAACGTCGAAAAGCAGACAGCATGCATAGATACCCTACCAGAAGCCTGATCTTGAGTTTGTCATCACTATATATGCGAAAGAAAAGGAATGTCTGGCATGCTACGACGCCCGATAACCTGAGCGCACGGGAGCGAGGTGAGCGACCATCGTTATAGATGCACAGTGGTGCAAGTGAAGGACGCACACCATAGAGACAAGTCCGCCGAGTAGGATGGCGCCTAGATTCGACTTGACATCTGCAGTGGGGTGCATGGCCATCGTAGCAGTCGCGTTTCATTCAGCGTAACGCTAAAGATCATGGTTCGCGGTATGATTCCAGTCAGTATATATGTGGAAGCTTCAGCTGCATCCACGGTCACTCCAACTAGCGCTCGACATCAACTGATGTAACATTGCGCCCTGGTGTCACAAGCTGATGTGGAGCCACACTGCTTGATACGTTCGTACATCGGGAAACGGCCCAGCGGTGTGAGAGGCTGAGACGTGCCGACACCTGAACGCACTTCTCCCAAACGCCATCGCGTATGCATTTGTGGCAAAGCCCCTATACCAGTTATCAGCCTGTGGGCGAGAGACGTAGCCGGAAAGTCAGCTGTACAGACAAAGCGGAAAGGGGATCGTGGACAGGCTCTGACGAGTTATCATGTAGCCAGCTGCGGGATCGCCGACTCACGACAACATGGCATGGCTTCCGCTGAGGCGCAGAGAAGAAGCCTGCTATAAGCATCCCAGTTGAGGTCTAGTCTGGTGGAAAGAGTCAGTGGGGTTTGTCTGGAGGTTAGAAGTCATGATCTTAACTGCATCGGCACAGCAACTCCGCAGTATTGGTGTTGAGATGGAGCAAATGCCCAGGTGCATGTCGTGCACGCGTCCCCATGAGACTGATGTAACCTTTCAGGGACGCTCTCGTGCCAACCAACGTAGCAAGAAGGGGACGGAGTACGCCAGAATAACCGGGTCTACTGCGAATTACTCGCACTGCCTGCTTCTAAACGTCGGTCCAGAGATATATTGAGCACGGGCACGTCCAATGTCGACCGCATTCAGCTTCGCGTAGACTGCGAAAGTGAGTACCATAGAGCCTCTTGGATCATAGGGACCATCCAGCGTCATTCGAACTCAGGACATTCATTAACGTGGTCGGAGCGGGGTGATATATTCGATATCTGTAGATGCCATGCACGTCAGACGTCAATCATTGAACCATTGGAATATTTCATCATTTCAGCGCGAACTCAGGCTCAACGACTTAACGTCCCTTCCTACGCTCGTCAATGAGTCGAGTATCTCAAGAAATAATCCTCAAACAAGCCTCAATGGCATCTAGTCAGGCTCCTGCCCAGCGATGATGGTGATGGTGGTGGTGCAGGACTGAGAAATCCGTCGACGCGAAACGGGCGAAGGCCACATCGGGCCGGTGAAACCGGAGCTGGCTCAACGTGATATCCAACCTTCACCCAACCTTCATCTCGACTACTATTGTCGACACGTCCCGTTGGACTGCAGCGTGGCCTCAAATCGTACTCCAGCACCGAACTATTCGACTGTATGGTAGGTTCGCGTCAACTGCGATCCCGCTCGCCTGCGGTGCTATATTGCTCACAAACAGTATCAGGTCTGGCTTGTTCTCTACCTCCTCACGCTAGCGTGACTATCACCATGCATGCTTATCGACGGCACTCGGTGCGTGTGATATATGCTGGCTTGATCTGCGCGTACTGATTGCTGTGCGCTGGTGTTATGAAAGACGTGTCTCTCCCGTTGGCTAGCATCATAACGTAGCTCATCATTCGGTGTCAAAACCCCCGCGTACTCCGAAAGACTGGGCTTTACGCCAGTTACTTCTTGCGAGTGTCCGCGCGCAGTCGTCCAACTACTTCTGTCTCGCCCGTGCTGGCGCTTTGGTCTCATGCTTCTAAATACAGTCGGTCGTTCAAGCGCAATCTGGTGTGAAGAGCACAGCAGGACGTTGCATTGTTCCGTGGGTTCCATCTCTGTTAGAGCTTTCAATTCAGATACGCAGATGCGTTGCTGACTTTCCGCAGTAGCCAGGCCTTGTTCGCCGTAGAGAACGATCGGTCGTAGGTCCGAGGCACGAGATGCTGGGCCAGCAATTGCCCGCGCTGCGTCACTGTCGGCCAAGGTCAACTATGTCCAACTTAAGGAACCCACGACCCAGGTTATGCTGGACTGCACGGCAAATTGCGCCAACGATACGATTTTGTGCGTCGAATGCCTCCCTGGCGACGTATTTTTCTCACCTTTACACCAGACTCCATGATTGAGAGGCTCCTGCTAAGCTTGTCTCGACAAGATGACCGGACACGCACGCTATCTTGTGTGCAATCGTCTCCGTCCTTCTGATTGATTTGCAGGCGGGCGCTGGACATAGGCTGGAAAACCGTTCAATACATATTCCGGCATCTGCATAGTATCTAGGGACGGCCTTGAAGAAGCTACCATCAACGCGGACTACTCCCAAATGTGACGCACAGCACGGCGAACTACATACTCAAATCCCCTTCCGTTCCGTCGCACCCATGGAAGATTCCGACTTGTGATATCTGGACCAACCGGCACAAATATGTCCGTGGATGGGAACTGCGCCATCGCCATCAATGCGCTCATGCCTTATGAGCCCTCCCTCCCTCTCGATTCCAGCACACTACTTTCAATAATGGCCCCGCACACCACGGACATGAATGCCCGCGATGTCGCCGCTCGGTAAGTGCTGCTCCTTACCTGCCAAACGACTCTCATATATCTCGTTCCTTCCAGTGGCGCTCTGATGAATAGCTGGACGTCAGTCAATGCGCCACCGTTTCCCTTGCCTGGTATCTCCGCCTCGCACGGGCGGTCTTCGTCAGTCCATGAACTTCACGAAAGGCACGATCACTGCCCAGAATCTCTGCTTTGCCTCTTGGATACGCATCAACGGCCTCCATATCCCACCGCATTGATAATTCGTGCCGCCATTCTAGGAAGCAGGGAGCGGCGTCTGGCGCTAACCGACATATTCACGGCCATCCAAGAGAAATACCCTTACTTCAGAGCCAGCTCGGCAGAACGAACTATGAAGGTGCGTATCAGTTATGGTGGGCAAGCATGAAAAATAATTGCCGCTACAGCAAGCAGTTGAGTTCGAGCTCTCCATACATGACATGTTTCGACGACAGAAGGCGACACCCGACGGCCCTTGGTTGTGGAAAGTGGATTTAGGCGTCCACATACCCTCGCTACATTGTCACTCGTCGGGGGAGCATGTTGGCATAGGGGCACATGGTGTCAATGAGGGATCGCCATCATTTTGTTGCCAGCGCCGGGCGCGTTCTCCTCTCGGCGCCGAAACGCCATGCTCACCATCACACCAATTCTCGCCGCCACCCAGAGATCCTACCCCCTTAGCTGCGATCGAGAGTCTAGTCGGTTCTGTCGAGGTAGAAGAAGCTCACATACCGAGCTGGAGACCTTCAGTTCGCGATATTCGCTTGCTTCTTGAGGACGACACACATCCGCGCCATCCTGGCTGTCCGGACGCCCTCAGTTGCCTCGAGGATATGCTGGTCGAACCTCGTTATACTGTCCCCGTTATGATACGCTGTACTATCCTTAGTGCAAGCGACCGCAAGCTATCGACGCATCAAATTTGCGAAACGCTCAAGATCAAGTACCCCTACTTCCAATCGCGCGACGCCGAGCGCAAGCTGAACGTATGTTTTGGTCACCTCTTGATACAGAACGGTTAGTTTAACATCATGGGCTACAGAAGGATGTACGAAAGAACTTGTTCGTGTCGTTTTCTTGCGTTGTGTGGAATCCCATGAGCTAACGGTGAACGTAGAAGTAAATGTCCGTTGTTCGTGAGGACTTCGGAGAAGTGTCGCAGCCCAGGATCAGCCAACAACGATGTCGCTCGTCATCCCTCGGCGTCGTTTTGGACAGTGGACCTTTCCGTCAGGGTAGCAATGATCTATACTCCCAATCCATGTGCAGCGAGTCGCACTGCTCGTCGTCAAAGCGCGGAGTAGCGGGAACCCCGGGTGGATATGTTCACGTATTGACTCATATGGACCGCGTCAGGCGATCCGACGTTCCCACTCGCTTATAAACCGCCGGTGCCCGTCGGCTGTAACCATTCATGTTTAGTACATACTTCCTGTCGCCAGGCCTGCTGTCTATCCACTTTTCATGAATCGAAACGCTTCTCGAATACCAGGGGCAGGCATCCAGAAAGCTTGTGTGGCGCTCACAACATTTTAAGTATGACGCGAGGTGCAACGTGGTTCGCATTACCCACTCAATGCCACCGGTCGCACTTCCGCGCCTTCCGTGTCATCCGTGCGCTTGTTGATCTCCGTTGACTCAAGGAGAACTCGAAAGTACTCGGGTGAGCGCCCCGAAGAATATGCGCTCGCGCTCAATCATCAGTACCGTGGGCCGACTTGTGGGTGCACATTCACACCAAGAGGTTAGCAGACGCAATTTTTGAGCCTGGACCCTCTTGTTGGACCCACCGGCGTATATAAGTCGACGGTCCATGGATCGCGTTGATGTCGCGCTTTCCCCACCTTCCGCCACGATCAGCGCCGGCCCATGGCCGACATCGGCAACCTACTCAATCCGCAGCCCATAGACAAAGGCGGCGGCAGGTGAATGGCTTCTTTGTGGTCTGGTGTGGCCCGGGTTTGAATGGTCTAGCTCATATTCATACAGCTCGAATTCATCAGCAGGACATTCTCCCGGCGCACAACCAGCGCAAGCAATGACTTTCTTGGGCGCGCCACCTGTTCCCGTGCGGTTCTACGCGCAGTATTTGTCCCACCGCAATATGCATGAGCCTCACACTGGATGCCCGAACTCGCTCAGTTGTCTTGTTGATACGGATGCGCATCCAGATGCTTCGTATGAGACGCTCGTGCGCTGCGCGATCCTAGGTAGTTCCGAGGCGAATCAGCAGTTACCCGTTCATGAGATACTTGCCGCGCTTAAGGGCAAGTATCCCTACTTCAGAAGCGAGGAAGCGGGTCGCGCGCTCGAGGTTAGTGTTACGGCGTCAAACTAAACGATCTTCCAAAGTCTCACCGTCCTCAGCAAGCTATCATGATGACTTTTGCGATAAGTCCAGCGTTCGTCAAGAACACCAGCAACTTGGGCGAAGTCCTTTGGGCTGTACACGCGGGTTCGATGCCCATGGTAAATCAGATACACGCTCAAAACCTGAGCCCACTCGTACCGCCTTCGCCGTACGGCTTCCAAGGACCGCCTACCGGACCGTCGGGCGATCCATTCGCGCAGCCGCCGGTAGACACGAGCCCGCCAGACCAGCAGATGCGCGAGCTGTATGCAGGCCCGTTCGCATACCGTGAGCATGATCCCCACCCGGACTGTCCGAATGCACTCTCTTGCCTGGCAGACACCGCTGACCGGCCGGGTTACACATACCCGATCCTCGTCAAATGCGCAATTCTCGGTAGCGCTCATCGCCGCCTCGAGATTCGCGAGATTTACCAAGTTTTGTCTGAGAAGTACCCCTTCTTCAAGGCCGACGACAAAACGTGGAAGCAGAGCATTCGCCACTGCCTCTCGCTACACGCGTCGTTTGTGCCGACGAAACGGCCCATCGGTGCGCCCGGCTGGGGCTCCTGGTGGACATACGACGAGGATGCCACCGGCACCAAGCGTCCGCGTAAGCGCGGACCGAAAGGGGCCGGCAAACGGCAAGATCAGGATGCTGTGGCCGACGATGACGAACCAGCCTCTGCGCACGCTGCCGGTGTGGCGAACGGTACGGGCGCCGGTGCTGGTATGTCTTCGGGCGAACAGGGCAATTCGATAAATGGAACCGACGAACACGATGAAGACGAGGATGCAGAGGGCGAAGAGACGTGAATACGTGATTGAATGGATTGTTTATTGATAAATGTGAATGTACGAGTGTTGACTATCATTTTTACCGAGTTAGTGATGTGGAAGCTCTTCGTCGTCTGGGTACAACTGTAAAGACATGAGCATGTTCCCATAACGAGCATCGTATTCACTCACTTTCCCGGGGTTGAATAGACCAAGAGGGTCGATGGCATTCTTGACAGTTTTCATCAGTCGAACAGTACCCTCGCCAAGTTCTCGGTTGAGGAACTCGCGCTTCCCAATGCCCACGCCGTGTTCACCGGTGCAAGTGCCGTCAAGGTCAATGGCACGATCGACCATGCGATGAACGAGGTCGCGCACAATGGCGAGCTCCTCGTCGTTTTTAAAGCACAACAGCGTATGGAAGTTCCCGTCTCCAGCGTGTCCAACGATCGTGTTCCTGATACCTGACGCCTCGACGTCCTGAAGAGTGTCGTACACAAGCTGCGGCAACTTCGAAATGGGTACGCAAACGTCCGTCGACCAGCCGCGTGACCCCGGACCGCCATACGTGAGACCTGCGTAGTGAGCGTTCTTGCGGTCGCTCCACATGCTGTCTGCCTCCTCCCTATCCTTCGCCAGCATCCAGTTACTACCTCCATGCTGCGCAGCAATCTCTTGAACAAGTTCGGCCGTCTCAAACAACGAGTTGGGCGTCGGACCTTGCATCTTGATGAAGAGATGATCGGCCACAGCGTATTTTCGCACAGAGCCACCATGCATATTTGTCGCGTCCATGAAGGCGGCATCCACGAGTTCAATGCACTCTGTATGCCAAGTCCGTTATCGATGATAAGTTGACGTTCAGGGAAGACGTACGGATGCCGACGCCCTTGTTCAAGATATCGATGACAGCAGAGGAGGCATCGCGCACGGTCGGGAACTGGACAATCGCGACATTGGTCGGAAGGCGCGGCGCCAGACGGATGGTCACTTCGGTGACTATACCCAAAGTACCTTCGGCACCAATGAAAACTAACAAAGCCTTCTTAGGGAGCGTATGCAACTAGCGAACAAGATGCGTACGTTTCGTGGTATCCCATCCAGCAGATGATTTGCGGGAACGGCGACGTGTTTTGATCACCTCACCGGAGGGTAAAACCACAGTCTATGCGCTTGTAAGCTGAGGTTATCGACCCTACAAGTGCATACATACCGCATTCAAAAACCATTCGCCCTTTGCGGTCCCGTATCTCACGGCGTTAGCTATAACCCGAAGTGTCAGTCAATACTCAGGCGCAAGTGAGACTCGCTTACTGCCAGAGCATCCTGTACTGAGCATGCCACCGATGGTTGCGCTTGGAGCCGGGTCTAGCTACAATTGGCTGTAAACTCCGGTTGCGAGCCTCTTCACACGGCGATACGTGCTTACGGGAAAGAACAAAGGGACGCCCATATCTTCCAACTTCTCGTTGATCTCCATCCAGCCGACGCCGGGTTGACAGACAAGATCAGAATCCTCAGCTAGGGAAGAAAGGCACTATGTATGAGCCTTGCCCAGTGTTGAGTCGATTGCATCGCACCATGTATGGCAATGATCTTGTCCATGCGGGAGACGTCTACACATATACTGCCGACCTCGCTCTACGTGGTAGTGTCAGCAACCAGTGAGTGTGGGAAAATAAGTGATGGAGCACACACGCCAACAAACTGCCCCTCGAGGCTTGTCCCCCCAGAGTATGGGATGATAGGCGTTTTATGTCGCGTCGCGATCTTGACTATCTTGACTACGTCGTCCGTGCTGGACGGATAGACCACCGCGACATGCGCACGCCCTATAAACAGCCAGGGCGTCAGCCATCTCACCCTCGCATACCCAGCTCCCTTCGGGATGACACGCACCATCTTGGGGAATGCTGACCGAATTGCCGTGCCCATCGACATCGTCCGCGTCAGTGCTGACGACGTCAGGAGTATCCTTGAAGGCATCCCGCAGTTCCGCGATAGCATTCGCGAAGTCCTCTGGACCACCATACTGCGGCTTGTTCGCTTCGGGACGAGCCTTTTCCTCATGTTCTCCAGCACCGCCATGAGAAGACTGTTCGTGTACAACAGCTTCCGGCTGATTGGACGCGCTCTTCGATAGACCCAGATAATAGCCCAGTGCTGTGCTGGCAACGCATCCGACGTAGATAGCTGCAGCGGGGCTTAGGCCGACAGACTTTGCCGCGTCCGAAGTAGTGCTATAGGCGCGACCAGAACGAATAGCTGGTCCTAAGGAAGGCGAAATACGTGATGTCCGTAGACTCGCGCGAGCAGCGCGAGCGAAGAAGCTCGACATGACGGTCAGGGTTCACACAGGGCTTGAGAACCCGCGCAGATGGTGGTCGGAAATATAACACGACATGGCAACATCGTGGACAAGACTGAGCTGCTCGCCGTGACCTGCGCCGGCGAGACCGTCGGGACCCCGGTCCGAAGTCCGGGCGGCCGTCAAACGCCGATACCCGTCATTGCACTCAACCACCATCGTACAGCGTAAAGCAACTGAATAGATATAGCCTTGGGCCTTAGGCCTTGTACGACTTGGAGTTGCCTATAGCTCGCCAATCTTGGGGTGACCCTATGACCGAACTCGCTCAATACCGTACGACATTGGCGGTTTCACGATTCCTGTTCTTGTACATCCTTCAGGCAATGCTACGCGATGCTGACGCCCTGCTACATGGCGATGAACTGCATCATAAATGTACCTTCGTGGGTCGCCGTATATTTCTCTCCATTGTTTACAATATCTTCATGCCTTGGCGAATCCGCAATTTAAAGGTGACAATCTCCCGAACGCATCTAGATCTTCGAATAGGCAGATCAGCCAGTTGTACTTTCACCTCCGTTCTAGCACGCTGCGCAAAGAGCTCACCAACGTGCTCGTATCTCTGGAGCTCTCGGAAGTGGCGGCCATCAGTCGCTTGTATGCGCCTCTGCTTCTTGCGCGCCCGTTGGCATGTGCTCTCCGGCCACTGGACTTCCCTAAAGAATCAGATCATTCATGTACTATCTAACGCTGTTCGTGGTCTCAACCAAGTTCACGTTCACGGACCTCGAGCGCGTTGGGCTTTCCGTATTTCGTCCCGTCATGAGCACAGCACGTACTCTCCCAGCCCTGGAGCGCACTGGCCGTACTGTTTCGGCTCACGATGATCTGTGTGCATTTCCTCGGGATGAGGGTGGCATGTGCGTGGCGTATTCTTAGAGATACACTGCATTCTTGGCGCCGACATCGACTGTCCATATGCACCTTGTCCATGCGGCTTGGCCGCTCTGATCGTGGCCCGCCCTTCTGCTCCTTCTTCAGGATGGCTACACGCGCACGTTCACCGAGATAACGCCCTCGTGCCATGCTCTTCATGTCAACGCGCAAGGAGCGGATGCGCTCTGCAGCTGATGGTGGCTCATATATATAGTCCCTGGCAGCTGCATCCAGTCACCAGGATTCACTGGAATCTCCTCAGCCGCCAAACCCGATGGTTGTATCCGCAGTAGTCGTCGCGGCACTCGCGTCTCTGGCTGTGGCTTCGCCCGCGCTCCCTTTGAAGGACCGCGCTTTGCCATCGGGCGATGTGACTTGCGGAAGTAACGTCTATACTGTGTCACAAGTTTCTGCGGCTGTATCTGCAGGGTATGCTCACGTCAGCAACCCTATCGGCAGTAGTGCGTACGCCTCTGATTTGTCGTGTTTGCCTGGTCCTGACGACGCGCGCAGACAGCTATCCACACGCATACTACTCGTACGCGGACGAGCACATCACACTGTACTGCAGCGGCAGCAGTTGGTACGAATACCCTATCCTCAAGAGCGGATTGTACAGCGGGGGTTCACCTGGCGCTGACCGCGTTATCTTCAACACCTCGGGAACGTACTGCGCCGTTGTCACCCACACCGATGCTCCCGGTGGTGACGATGCTTTCACTTCTTGCGACGTCAGTCACCGCCTACATGTTTGTAGTGATGCTTCAAGCTGACGACTGGTGTTGTAGAACGACTGAGCGAATGATGAATTGAACGTGGCATGTATTCCTAGTACGCGCGATGTACAAGGCGCGAATGATGTATGTGTATTCCCGCCGCGTGCTATCGTCGCAACAATGTACCATTTCTTCCGAGGTCAGGCACGAGGTGCGGGCTGTATTCGGGGTATACAGGGCAGGAGGTTTCGAGGAAGAAAGCGTCTGGCATTGAGATACTGTTGTCAGTACATACAAGCATGAGAGGTACTATCTACACACCTGAGCTCCATATAGGCATCCCTGGCCATGCACATGCCGAGCGCGTCTGCATCACTGTCCAGACGCCCAGCACTCATGCGCTGCTCAGGGCAGCCCTAGTAACTTGCCCACGACTGACAGGTCACGTCTTCACGGCATCAGAAGCAAATTAACAGGCTTGACGACACGAAAGGCCACAGATTGACAATAGTACTACAGTCTAGCAGGGTCAAGGTGGATGCGCAAGACAAGCCAGCCGGCGACAACGGCGGTGCCATGCCGTCTCGTGGGAAGGCTCTTCCGGAATCGCTGAGACTTGTCCCGAACTTTGATTTGATACTTCCTGTTCGGCAATAGGTCGTATAAGGGTGACGTGCTAGCACATATACAAATTTAAACACTCAGCACCACACACGGTGATCGTACTGTGGGTACAGCAGACCTCGCTAGCTGGGAGGCCTCTCAATTTCTTACCACCACCAGCACCGTCGCTACTTGCAGCCGGGGTCTTTTCGCCACCCTCTTCCCCTCAAATGGAAGAAACTCGCATTGTCGGCCATGTTGGTGCAAACATGAGCTTCTCTGGGCCGAATTCTACTCAAGAGCGTGCGCAGAGCGCGCAATCGGCGCTGGCGGCACTCGTCACGAACGATAGCCCCGATACAGCCGAGAAGTTGATCAGCATCGGTGTTGACCTGTGGGACTGCTATCGCAGCACCCAGAAGCTAGAACATCTCGAGGATGCTGTCCTCGCCATGCGCCGCGCATTACAACTCAGACCGGACGGTCGGGATCGGCCAGGCATCTTCAATCATCTCTGCGTCTTTCTCCGTGACCGGTTCACACATCTTGGCCTATTGAGCGATCTTGGAGACGCTATCGACGCAGGGAGACGTGCCTTGAAGGGGACGGCTGAAGAGGATTCTGACTTGTGCGTGTATCTCAACGGCCTGGGCAATGCCCTACAAACACGCTACGACAATATTGGGAACCTCGACGACCTTCGATATGCCATCTCAGCCTATACCCGTGCTGTCGACCTTATGTCTGACGAGCATCCTGATAAACCCGCGTTATACTCGAATCTCGGGACCGGATACCACGACTCCTTTCAACGTACAGGACGGGTCGGCGACCTCAATGACGCCGTGACAGCCTACAATCGCGCCGTAGCGCTCACGGTCGACAGCCAGCCTGACAAGGTTTTCTATCTTAATGCCCTTGGTGGCTCCCTGCGGGACCGTTTTGAACGTCTAGGCAGTCTCGACGATCTGGAAGTTGCCATCTCTATGCTTCGTTCCGCCATTGAACTGGCGCCCGATAGTCACTCCCGCAAACCGATGCTCTTAGACAAGCTCGGGATGACCTTGCAATTGCGCTCCGGACGCTTGGATACCCTTGATGATATTGAAGAGGCCGTGATGGCGCATCAGCGTGCGTTTGACCTGCTTCCTGCAGGTCATGTCGATAAGTCCGGGCCCTTGAGCAACTTGAGTCTCGCTCTCAAGACACGATATGACAGCACGGGAGACATAGAGGATTTGGAGCGGGTCATCCAAATCCTGCGACTAGCGATATCGACTCCGCCAGAGAACCACCGGTTCAAGCCGATCCAGTTGGGAAACCTTGGGAACGCTCTACAGAACAGGTTTGAGCGTCTTGGAGACTTGGCGGATCTGGAGAGTGCAATACAATCCCATCGCCGTGCGATTGATCTTGCCCCGGGCAACTCGTTCTTTCTCGCCAACCTTGGCATCGCCCTTGAGTACCGCTTCAAACAGCTCCACAAACAGGAAGATATTGAAGCTGCCATCTCAGCAAAGCAAGAAGCCGTAGAGAGAACGCCTGAACGACACCCGCGTTTGCCAACACGGCTCGCCAACCTCGGTGGCGCCTTCGCAATCCGCTTTCAGTTCTTTCAACAGTCATCTGATCTCGAGAACGCCATCGAGCTGCTCCGTCGGGCAGTCTCGCTGACTCCCGACGGCCATCCCGACAAAGTATACGGGCTCACCAATCTTGGAGGCGCTCTACAACTTCGCTTTGATCTATCGCATAACATTGGCGACTTGGAGGATGCGATCTCCGCACATCGGCTTGCCACCGATCTCACTTCGGAAGACCGAGGGAGCCGGCCACATTTACTTAGGAATCTTGCTGTTGCGTTGCGCAGTCGTTTTCAACACGAGCAGACCCAGGAAAGCTTTGACGCGGCTGTCGCAAGCTTCTTGGAAGCTACGGACAGACAGCTTGGATCTCCCCTGCAGCGCTTTCACATCGCTGTACTCTGCATCGTGATGTTCGTCGAGCATCCTGAGTTCAGCTCCCCCAAGCCTTTACTTAAGGTGTACTCGCGTATTCTCTCAACTCTTCCAGAGGTCATATGGATCGGTAACACCCTGCGCCGACGATACGAGGAGTCCGCGAGAGTGGGAGCGATGGTCAACGCGGCGGTAGCTGCCGCAATCGACGCCGGGGATTTGCCGAGGGCGCTTGAGTGGCTTGAGGAGGGAAGAGCACTCGTCTGGTCGCAGATCCTTACTCTGCGGACACCTCTGCACGAACTACGGGAACAACATCCTGACCTAGCCAATGCGCTGGACGGGTTCATTCACGGGATGCAGAAGATTACTCCTGCGCATGACATGCTACGAGACACTGATGCGGTGCATGAGGACTGCTCTCGTCTCTTACCAGCGACCGACGAGAATGCCGATCGTCATAGATACCTCGCCGTGAAGTATGAACAACTGTTAGTCGAAATCCGCTCTCATGCAGGTTTCGAGGAGTTCCTACGTCCAAAGACGTTCGAGCACCTCGCTGCCTCACCTCATCCCCCCAACACACGCGTCGTGATCATAAATGTGGATCATCACCGTTCTGATGCCATTGTCGTCTCTTCCGGGGGGAGCGTCACCTTAGTCCCACTCCCCGAGCTCACGTTGACGCGCGCGCGCAAGTTGCGCTCTATGTGGAAAGCACACCTCGAGAACTCTGGGGTTCGCAAGCGGGCCATGATAGAGGTGCCATCGGACGATGGTCAAGAAGGACTTCGTTTCGGGGTTATACTAGAGAGGCTATGGGTTTGGGTCACTTACCCAGTTCTACAAGCCTTGGACTTGGTACGGCACGCCTACGTGTTTCACGAGGAGTATTGTCGGCTGATCGAAAGCTTTGTTCATAGATGGATGTCCAACAGGATACGGGGAACCTACAGCACATTACCTGGTGTCCTACCGGACCTCTCATGCAGTTACCGCTGCACGCAGCAGGTATCTATAATGCACCGCAGCAATCCGATTTACACGTATTCGACTACGTTGTTTCATCATACACGCCATCACTTTCGGCCCTTATGCGCTGCCGAAGCACCGTCAATGCGCCACTCCCAAGTGCCCATCTACTTGTTGTCACACAGCATCAGGGAAACCCCGGCCTCCGGAAACTAACTTTTTCGCGACTTATTCCCGGGGCCGGCTAAAACCTTCCTTATTGCCACTAAGCGGTGGACCGCCTTATGCGGCACCGCGGGTCGAGCCCAAGGGCTCTTGAAACGCGCTAAGACGCATTCATCGTCTCCTTATTAGTAGATAAATGGCACCTTTTTCTTCCTTCTGCCGGCGCCGGTAATCACACGAAGTTCAACAAGTAAATTGTATACGTACAGAGGGTGAGATACTAGAAATATGAGCAGGAGGTGAAATGCGAGACGTAGCGCGTATCCGGGCCAGCCGTAGGGGCCGGCCAACCAGGTCGGCCCATACCGGTACACAAAGCCGACCTGGTCGAAAATGGATTTTTATTCGAAAAATGATACCACACAGGCCTTAACTCCGCGCGCGATCGTTCGGTCGGATTTAAATGAGTGGGAAAATCAATATTTATATATTTTTATAAGTGGGCCTTTCAAGGCGAGGAAAATACGCCTGACAGCGGTGCGGGGCACGCCAAACGATACACAGCTTGCAAGCAAGCAGAGAAACATGGTATTGACATTATATACGGGGTACACAACTCGTGCAAGTAAGTTACAAGCCATACAGATAGAAGAAGACGATGAAGGGGCGTGCGAGAAGTGGACGGGGCTGGACGAGCAAGGCTCAGAGGTCCGCGCTGGACGACAATCGACGGCCTTGAATGGAATACGAGCAGCCCTGCTTGATAAATTAGCACGGGAGCTGAAAGCACGAGCGGGTAACGTACGTTGAGGGACACGCGCGAGCGCGCAAAGCGAAGTTAGCACTCCCGTCCTCCGAAGAGCGAGCTAATCAGGCCCAGCAGGGCGTTCAACACGTACGGGGCGAGTCGCCACGTCGGGCGCAAGGGCGAACGACGAGGAGAAAGGCGGCGAGGGAGGGGAGGGCGATGACGGGGAAGAGCAAGAGGGACGAAAACGGACAAGTCGCGCGACGCGCGGTCCGAATGGCCGGCAAACGCCGATTGGCTGGTGGATCCCTCCGACGCGTCAGACGCGAGAAGTCGTTCGACCTTCCTTCCTTCCCTCCATCATCCCCGCTCCTCTCCCGCCCGTCTTCGCATCCTCGCCCAGCGCTCCTCTCGCTTGTCTCGCCGTCGTCGTCAGGCTTCAACGACGATATGTAGCCGTCTCCGCCGTAGTTGTACGTTTTGGGCTGCCTGGCGCCGACGCGCTGGCATCGGTCCCGCGTTCCGCGGCCGGTCGTTAGGTACGTCGTGTCCTCGTATCTGTACGAAGCGTCGCTCACAAGCATCTTCTCAGCCTTTATCGAGTGCTTGCGCCGCGTCGCCAGAGTACGTCAAGAATCATGCGCGTTACGAATGGAAGCTAATGCGGCCGTTCTGTAGTGTTGCGCCGACTCGCTCGCGACGTAACCGCGCCTATCTTCGCTGTCTACCCGCCCGTCGCCTAGCGCGCACGGGCGTGACTTTGCGTCCCGCCGCCGCTGTCCTAGGTACGTTTCGCGGTCGACCGCCATGTCGAACTAGTACTTATTCCGTCTCAGGTCTTCGCGTCCTTCGCGCTCGGGGACGCAGGTGCGTCGGCCTGCTGTGCCATCCCGCTCGCTGGCGACGGCTGCGTGCCTGCTCGGGCGAGCGGCCTTTTGGCCGCAAGTGACGGCGCTTCGCGCCGTTCTGCGAATGCACCACTGCGCGATGCGCTACCGCCCGCTTGTGCAGCTCCGAGCTCGCCCTGTCCTGTTCGCGCTAGCAAGCGGCCTTGCGGCCGCGAGGGGACGCCGCTCTGCGGCACTCTTCGCGTCGGTTCTCGTGCTTGCAGCGTGCATTCTCGTTTTGTTTCTGATTGTAACTATCGTACAGTTGCGTCAGCTTATACGAATGTTGTATATCTCCTGTTCGAGCCTCCTGTACGCGCCAAGTGCGCTATGTACAAACAATATAATTACTTTTCGCTTCTACTTGATGACTGACATAATCAACTTGTTGCTCCTTTATCACCGCGTTCCTGAGACTTCGGCGATAGAAATGGGTACATGTGCTCGCCAAATCGACCCTCACACAAGCTCATGCCCGACTTTTAGTGGACTTATACGCTACTCCTCGCAGCTCGGCCGACCCCGGTGGCCATCGAATAAGGACGAAAAAGACCCGGTGAATAGGGCCAAGGTTCTTCATTCGCCCTTATTGCACTGATTTTGGGCGTCTTTATGCCGCCTCAAATAAATCGCGATGAGACGCGTTAAAATGCTAAAAGTTAGTTTCCGGAGGCCGGGGTTTCCCTGATGGCCTTCTTGTCCTTTCCTTCTTGTTCTCAGTTCGCTTCGTAATGTCCACACATCCACACGAAGCCCTTCTAGGCAATGATGGCGTTCACGCTCCCGAATCCGCAGAGCTTCACGAATTACAGACAGCACCGATCTTGACGAGTGACGCGTTAGAGTACCTAGGATCGCGCTCCATACCGCAAACTGCTGTATATGGTCGCCTGCTTTCTCAGCGCGCGACCGGTCTTCCCATCCTCCCCGACACGAGCCGCGTATACATCAACACCGACACTCCCTTCAGCGCTCTTGTATGTGGAGTTCAGGTAAGATCACACGCCGTCGCACTACGTAGAATCTTGCTGACGCGTCACTTAGGGCTCGGGAAAAAGTCACTCTACATCCGTTCTTTTGGAAAGCTGCTTGATCACGGATAAGCGTCTCGGTACACTGCCTGAACCGCTTAGCGCCCTTGTGTGAGGCTTCACAACCCATTCATCCTTCAACGATCTCTCTAAGGCTATGCCATCTTGCATAGCTTCCACTTCGACACGGCAGCTGGAGGTGGCCTTGTTCAGCCATGCGAGGCGGCGTATCTGGCTGCCCTTCACGCCACACGCGGAGGCGTCGCGCGGGCGCCTCCGGTGAAGGTACTTGTGCTGTGCGTATCCCGCCATACTCTCCGCTACTATATCTCATATCTGCACAGTCCAAACAGCTTGAACTCGATGCAAAGAGTATACGCCGGGCTTCCCGGAGTGTCCGTCGAGGCATTGCGCTTCAGCTCTGCAGACGTCAATGCCGGTCGACTGCTCAGCATGATGAAAGTGGATGAGGGTGGACGTACGTCGAGTTCAGTGTTCAATGCTATGGTACACGGCTAACCGTTCATGTCATAGAACCACCGTTATATATTGAATCCATCCTCACGCTTCTAAGATCTATGGAAGAGTTCGACTACACTACCTTCCGCCAACTCTTAGAACAACAGGAGTTTAGCTCCTCTCAGAGATCCATGCTTAACCTTCGCCTGGCTCTGTTGGACTCGTGCCTTGAGGGCGGTAACCACCAGAATCGTGTGGCCAGCCATGTTGTGCAAGGTCAACTGACGATCATAGAGTACGTGCGGGGTTCTACATGAGTACGAACCTTCACTCATGAGCGCGCACCGGTAGTTTGTCGTCACCGTTCATGGACGGGACATCGGCATGCGGATTCTTCGACCTGATCCTCGGACTGTTCATGGAATCGGACTGCGCAACTGGAAAGGTCGTCGGTGAGTCACGGTTTACCGCTTTGAAGCAGATTGTTCACCCACGTTCTAGTGCTTGACGAGGCGCATAAGGTAACACTCTTCTTCAAGCTACCCGCGCTCGCGTATGTACTGAACTTGAGCCCTAGTATCTTTCAGAAACGTCATCGCGCTTGACAGAATCGCTTCTGACCGTCATCCGGCAACAGCGGCATCTGGGGACCCGGGTAGTTATCTCGACGCAGGAGCCAACTGGTACGCACTGCATTGATGTTAGAGGGAGCAAGACCATTCCTGACTGTCTTACAGTCGTCCCTCCGAAGTTCCTCGATCTTTGTTCAATCGTGATAGCCCATCGTTTCCAATCGCCCGCATGGTTGAAAGACATGCTCGGACACGTCGCCGCTTCGGATTCTGACCGTGAGATGATAAGCGAAACGGTGAGCTTCGCTGAATCCATCAACGAGGGATAGAACTCATTCATGGCACTACACAGATTCTCGGCTTGCGCACGGGCGAATGCGTGATGATAGCGCCCTCCGGTGTTGCAAAGAGAGATTCGCCTGTCCAGTTCAATGGCTCAAAGTCTCTAGTGGGGCCGATCGGCAAAGGCTACCTCGTCGTGCGCTCGCGCCTGCGCATCACGCGTGACGGTGGCCACTCCTTGCTCGCGTCACGATCAGTGGACCGAGTGGACCGAGTGGTACCTGAGCCAGTACCCATAGTACCTCAGATCAGCCAGCCAGTCGCACAACCAGCCATAGTACCAGAAGACGTATGGAACGCACCGGACGACGCGTGGACTACAGCCCAAGCCACTTCATGGGATGAGGATCCGGTCGATGAATGGGCAGCCGCCGCAGAAGCATCCCAGACCAAGAAGCGCCCAGAGTCTGCCAAACCGAAGGTCGCCCCAGCACTTAAGCCCAGTCTACCCACACCAAGCCCTTCCACGTCTCAAAGCACACTTCCGGGCCCGTCCGGTGCGCCATCGAGCGAAAAGGCCGTCGGTACACTCATCGCCTTCCTCGACAAAGAGCGCGGGAATGGGAATCGCGTGACATGGGGCAAGGCGAAGAAGCACCTGTACGAGAAACAGATGTTGAAGGGCGGAGCAGGCAAACCTGCGGCGAACGCGAAGGCCATCTTCCTGGACGCGAAGCAGGCGGGTCTACTGAAGATCACTCAGGACGGGACCGAGACGTATCTTGAACTCCTCTCTTAGACGATCATCGCTTGTATAGAATTGCTGAATTAGACACTGTAATAGGATAGGATCTTTCCGATCAAAGCGCGTTGCCGCCTCGCGCAGACCCCTATCCAAGCTCTCGATTCCTTTATGCGCGGCAAAAGCGTGCTGTAGCCTTTCCCATGCTTAGCCACCGAGTGGCACAAACCAAAGAACACCAGAGGCCACACCCCCTCCACGCCCACCCCGTTCTCATCTACATCTGAGACCCTCCCCAGCACAACTCCAACGCCCATCATCACCATGTCGCCCCTCTCCGACCCCGAAGACTCCCTCCTCGCCCTCCCCTCCTCCACCACCGCAGACTCAGCCAACACGCACGCCCTCCGCACAGCGCCCATAATCACCTCCGACGCCCTCATCCACCTCGGCCCAGGCGTCATCCCCCAACGCGCCGTCTACGGCCGCCTCCTCTCCCAACACGCGCCCGGCTTCCCGTCGCAGTGCAGGGCAGACCGCAAAGCGAAGGGCGGCGCGGGGAAGGTGTACGTGAACACGAACGCGCCGTTCAGCGCGCTCGTGTGTGGCGTGCAGGTGCGTTCTTCTTCCCACGGTTGTCTACTGTTGCGATGTTGACAAGCGCGCGCGGCGGGAAGGGGTCGGGCAAGAGCCACTCGACGTCTGTATTGCTCGAAAGCTGCTTGGTAAAGGACGAGCGGCTCGGTACGCTGCCGGAGCCGCTTAGCGCGCTCGTGTGCGTTCTTTGTGTTCTTGGGCGCTTTGATCGTCCTCATGTCGCCCTAGCTTCCATTTCGACACCGCCGCTGGCGGCGGACTCGTACAGCCATGTGAAGCCGCCTATCTCGCGGCGCTGGATCCATCTCGCGCAGGTAACGCGCGCGCACCACCGGTAAAGGTGCTCGTAATGTACGCCACTTCTCGCCCCTCCCACATATCATATAACGTCCGGCGGTCGCTGACGCCGACAATGACAGGCCGAACAGCATCACGAACATGCGCCGCGTATACGCCGGCCTCCCCGGCGTGACCGTCGAGCCCCTCCACTTCGCGCCGGGCGACATCAACGGCAGCCGGCTGCTCAGCATGATGAAGCTCGCCGACGGCCAGCAGCTGCCGCTCTACATGGAGGCGCTCATGGACATCCTCCGCTCGATGGAGACCAACTTCTCCTATACCGCGTTCCGCGCGGAGCTGGCGCGGCAGAAGTTCAGCCCGGCGCAGAAGGCGATGTTGAATATCCGGCTTGCGTTGCTGGACTCGTGTCTTGCGGGTGGGGATGAGGGTAATAGCGTTAGCCGGCACTTCGTGCAGGGCCAGTTGACTATCATCGAGTACGTCTTGTTCGCCCTAATGTTGCGTGGACGGGGTGGAAGGGTATTGACGTCAACTCGGCAGCCTTTCCTCGCCGTTCATGGACCCGACGTCGGCATGCGGCTTCTTCGATCTCATCTTGGGCCTCTTCATCGAGGCGCCGTGTACGTCTGGGAAGATCGTCGGTGAGTGCCGTATCAGATATGTCACACAGACGCTGAACCTACCTCTCGCAGTGCTGGATGAAGCGCACAAAGTAGGGCATTCAACTTTTAGGAGATGCACCCCTGCTGACGGGTGCCGCAGTACCTCTCCGAGTCTTCCTCCCGCCTCACGGAGTCCCTCCTGACCGTGATCCGGCAACAACGGCACCTGGCCACGCGTGTAGTCGTCTCTACGCAGGAGCCGACCGGTGCGTATAGCGCCGAGTGATTAGATCTCTAGAATGCTCATGCGATGACGCCGCAGTCGTGCCGGAGAAGTACCTCGACCTATGCTCCTTCGTCATCGCGCACCGCTTCTCGTCGCCCTTATGGCTCAAGACGCTCGCGAACCACCTCTCCGCCGACAACAATACCGTCGACTCTCTCTTTGCCAAGGTGTGTGCACGCCCTTCCGTTCCAGTGTCCTTCAGGCTAACCAGCCACGCATAGATCGTCGCGTTGCGTACGGGCGAGGGAATCCTCTTCGCAGCCGCGGGACTCGGACTGAAAGAAGACGACTCCGGCGGAGGCAAGGTGGAGCCTCTTGGGCGGGGATACGTGGTGGTCAAGTCGCGGCTGAGGATAACGAGGGATGGCGGGCATTCGTTGCTCGCGGTACAAGCTGACGAAGCCCCGGTCCCTGCGATGAACGCGAGTGTGCCGAGCGCCGGTATGCAGACACCACCGCAGCAGCGGGCGAACGCGCTGCCGGCTGGGATGCGTACGCCGCCGGAGTCGCCTCCAAGGAATCAATCGAGCGCGGGTCAGGGCGCATCGCCTATACCGTCCTCAACCGCTCAGCCTGTCAAGGCCTCGCCAGGCCTGCCTTCCGCCGGCCAAGCAGCAACACCAGCCGCACCTCCACCGCCATCATCGCCACCACCATCCTCATCTGGCCCACCTCCAACTCGCAAGCGAGCCCCCATCTCCTCCTGCAACGGCGACACCAACGTGACGCATCTCGTCTCCTATCTCGAATCGCAAGAGCGCATCGACGGCACAGCAGGCTACATCCCATTCAAGCAAGCCAGAACCGGCATCTCTGCGCGCGGCGCGGTCATCGCGAAGAATAACCGGGGTATATTCGAGCGGGCGGAGCGGATGGGGTTCGTGGAGATCATGACGAGTGCGGAGGGGAGGCGTTATGTTCGCTTGTTGCCGCTGTAGAGGTGTAGATTGATATGTACTGTATAGAGGCGAAGAGCGCGAGTGTAGGTTATGATATTGTTGTACATTATGTCGGTGCGAAGGTCTGGTGATGGTTCGGGATCAAGCGCAAGCCGTGAGCGCGTGAGCCGTCGACACGCTGCGATGTATATAGGTCTTGCATCCTACTACCACAGCGTTACTACGCCTGCCTACCAGATCCTGTACTTCTCAGCCTCTACTCTGCTCATAAGTCCAGTAACTGGCACGGTCTGATGCTGCAAATGGCCGCCCCAGAATAGTGTCCGCTCCATCTAAGACATGTCCACACACCTCAGGAGGTCTCCCCATCGCCCCCTCACTTCGCTCCATCCACCATGTCCAACCCCGTCCGCACCCCCAAATCCGGCGACGACTGGACACCCGCCGACCTCCAAGCCTACAACATAACCATCCGCCCCGAATCCTCCCAAACCTTCTTCGGCCTCCCTCCCTCCTCCCTCCCTCCCACCTCCGTCGACGAAGAGGTCTTGACTTTACAAGACGCGCGCGCGGCAACAACATCCGACAACACGCAGCTCGTCTACCACATGCTCACCGCCTCGCAGCCCGCGCCCAGCAACGGCGCATCGGCCGTGATCGACTTCGCGCGCGAGCTGCTCCGCAGCCTCCGATACGGCTCGCGCAATAGCCCGGGTACGCTCCCGCGCTCGCGCGTGGACATCCCGTTCTGCGTGCGCGGGGAGCGGAGGGACATGAACACCGATATGTGCCTCTACGAGCACGACCTAGACGAATTCGTTCTGCTCGTCCAAGTCGACAGGCGGTTTTCGGAGAAGGAGTCGGTTAGATCGGGTGTGCCGGAGCTGCTCGCGCACGCTATCGGCGCGTTCGATTATAACAACCAGATGCGCTTGAAAGCCGGTCGTCCGACATTGGACTCGAAGGTAAGTCTTCAATGCCTGTTCCTCCTGTGCATCGAGTCACTGTTATATAGGTTATGCCCGGTATCGTCCTGCGCGGTGCCTCCCCCACCTTCTTCAAGATCCCCGTCACCGCCGATCTCGTGCGACACGTCCAACGCTGCGAGCGTCCGTCGCAGGAGACCGTGGTGTCCGCGCACACACCCTTGGTGCCCTTGCCCGACGAAGGCATGGTGGCCCCCGACAACAGGCGCATTGTATTCCGGTGCTTCGAAGCTTTCAGGAGTTGTATCATGGACGACTGAAGCCGGCGGAGTTGTGTATGATGGATGCAATGCGGTTTAGCGCTACTGAAACGAGTTGTATCACCTATCCTTATAGCTAAATATCTATCGTGTTGCGGAAACGCCTGCGCCGTGGACTCGGATTCGTTGAGGTCCATAGATCTCACTCCGTCGTTGTATCGCGACCTTCCATCCGACGCGTCCGAAGGCAGTGCGGAGGACAAATACAAGCGCCTTCCTACCGTTCGAGAAGCTCGAAGCGTGAATGCACAGCTGTCACAGTATGCACTGCCTGTCATACTCGAAGCTGCTGCGGTTCAGCGGCTATTCGTGCTCTCCTATACCTTCCTTCTGCCACAACAGTCAGCTATGGGCCAGAAAGGAAGCCGGCCCTCCAGGTCATCCACTCCGCCAATACGTGCACCCCAAGCGCAGAACGAAGCTGCGAAGCCTGAGATCACTGTGACCCCAGTTTCTCACACTCAGACTGACAACGCAGATGCAAGCGAGGAAGAGGAAGAGAGGGACGAGCAAGAGATGAAGACAATATGGACGCACTACTGCGCCTTCGTCGTATATCTGGAGTCCTACCTCGTCAACGGCACGCGTCCATCTCAACCTCAGAAGCGATGAGGAATGCTGACATGATATTGTCTGGTCTGAACAGAGCGGCCCAACACGCGGATCGCGGCGCGGCAGAAGCTCACTCGCCTAACCCGTCCACAGTTCCACGAACTGTCCACGGACGTGTACGACGAGGTTGTGCGGAGGAAGAATAAGGACGACGGGTCCGATGACGGTGCGTTCTTCCTCTCACCGCGTACTCTCCCACATGAGCATGAAAATGACTGACGATTGTCGACGCAGAGCCTTTCCTGCCCGCGCAACACGCCTTCAACCCCAAACGCAACGACGCGCGGCAGAAGCTCGCTACGCTCCCGGCGTCTCGCTTCCAGGACTTGTCGGCGGATGTGTATCATGAGCTCGTGCGGCGGTATCCTGAGTTTAAGGGGGAGGAATGACCAGGATGGGGAAGGATGGTGGAAAGAAGAAGAGGATGAAACTGGTCGCGCGTAAACCGAAAGCTCGTCGATTCATGTAACAAGCAACTGTATTGCGCTTCCATTACAAGCGATCGGTACCGCACCCCAACCGTAGACCAAAAGCAGGCAAGTATCGTAGCAGTATGGAGACTTGACCCCGATCGCCTATGTAGCGAAAAAGAGTAGCCCAAACACCGTTCAACCAAACGTCACAATCGGGCGATCTGTATGAACAGCGCCAAACGCGATCCACAAGGACCATCATATCAAGGCGTAGCCAGCCCAATAGAGTACACATCGCAGTATGGAACGCGTCCGAAGGCATGATGAAAGTCGGGTCCAAGCACCTTACGTCCGCAAGCGTGCGGCCCGAGTCCAGGCTACGTACGGCGACTTCGGCTCGGGCACGCGGCATCCCCATCACCAGGCGCTGCGTCCAACCTGCGGCCACTCATCCCACCACCCTCATCCTCCTCCCACCTCCACCACCAGTCCCAACTACTACTACTGTCCGCGATGCGTCGAGGCGGGAGCACGACGGGCCGCGTCTCGCCGACGAACACGACGTACAGCGGGATATCGAACTACAAGACGGACTCGTACGCGCGCCAGGGCCAGAGCGACGCGAAGCCGCAGGACACGCGGGAGATCGCGCGCGTGCATTATCGCGAGCTGAGCGTTTATCTCGCGTCCTATCTCGCCAACGGTACGCTATACTATCTGCATTATACTATCGCGGAATTGGGTATTGATTAAAGATTTTGGGCAGAACCGGCGAACTCGCGGTTCGCGGCGCGGCAGAAGCTCACGCGGTTGACCCGGCAACAGTTCCAAGAACTGTCTACGGACGTGTACGACGAGCTGGTGCGGAGAACGAACAATGAGGGCTCCAACGACAGTACGCCCCATCCCACTAAATACCCACATGATGACCGCCAGTATCTGATATATATTTCATGCAGTACCATTCCTGCCCGTGCGAGACGACTTTCACCCGAAACGCAACCAAGCACGGCAGAAGCTCGCCACGCTCCCGACATCTCGCTTCAAGGATCTGTCCTCAGACGTCTACTACGAGCTCGTGCGGCGATATCCCGAGTTCAAGGAGGAAGAACAGGAACCAGAGGTCCGTTCCCTCTCAACCCCCCACCACTTCAACTAACCGATATATATATATCGTACCAGCCCGCGCCCGACTCGCCGAAATCCGCATACGACGACAGGCAAGCGTACGACGACTACCCCTCGCGCCCCCCATTCGGCCAACCGCGCACCTCCCAGCCCGACTCCCTCAACTCCTCATCGACGGCCACACCCGGCTACGGCCACCAACCCTCGACCTCCATCTCCTCCCTCGCCGCGCGCAACGCATCCCTCACATCGCCGCCGCTCC